TACAGGAGTGAACCTGATCCAAAAAGCTAAGTAATTTGATTAGATGAGAGATACACTTATTTCATAATAATATCAATATAAAGTATTCATATTAATTCTTTGTTCGAACTTCAGCTTTAATGCATCATCTTTCTAATCTTTAGGAATTGAGAACACATATTGTGAATTAATTTTGTTCTTCTGATTTCCCACTTTCTGAATCCAAATAAGATTTTTTATTTCTTGATTTTTAATATCTCTAAACAATTTTAAAACTGTAATCAAGGAGAAGAATTACAATGTTGATGACCCATATAAATACACCAATACTCCAATAGGATCACGAATTAAATCTGTGACTAAGACAACTATACTCAATCCTCCAAATAGAATTTCCAAAACAATTCCAAAATAAACTAACAATTGTATCTTGAATAAGATCTATCTGTCAATAGCTAAATTAGAAGATTTAAGATTAAATTTTTCTAAATCTTCATCAGATTAAAAATGAATAGATGTTTTATAATCCTATTAACTAGTTCCTACATAACTCAATTTTTTTAAATCACTTCTATCTCTTTATTTTGGTTATAATTCTTTTTTGTTTTCAGTTGTATCTTTAGTCTCTTTGACTGCTTTAATTTACATTCTAACAGTATCTTTATATGCTTATCTATCTTCTTCATTCTCCCATCTCATAGAATTAGATTAATTTTCATTTAAACAACAACTATTAATTTCTTAATCAATAGATTCTTATTTAAATTAGTTATTATCTAAATCCTTTGCAGATTGATCACTATTTGAATCTTAATTATGCTAATTAGATTTGTTAGATTTTAATTATTTTTAACTCTCCTATCTAAAAAATGATGATCCTCTAATTCCTTTTACAAATGTTCTTGCAAAAGATACCGATTTAATTTTTGTTTATGCAATCTTAATTTTTGGTTCTTCCATTTATTTAACTTCATCCTAGATTTCATTCTTTTATTCTTCACTACTAATCTACCTAGAAAACCTAGCTACTCTTTGAACTGACTCAGGAGATCTACTAAAACTCTCATCCTTTTAAATTTATTATTATTATTATTATAACATTTGTTCCATTCCTGAATTTTGTATTCTAAACTATTATCTACATATTATAATCTGATCTTTTATACAAGTTTACAATGACGAACCATATATAAAAAACTCAACTATGAATAAAAAGAAATTAGCCATCAAGAATATATAGCAAATCATCAGAAATATTGGATACTGCACACCCCTTCGTAAACCTTTCATTATTATTTAATTTACCATTTAATGTACTTACCGTTATCTAAACTAACAACACTATAAATAATCGCAACTTCAATGCTTCCTTGTAATATTTGAATATCCATTTCCTTTTCTTTTTCGCTTCTCCTTAATAAATGTTATATGAAATTTCATCATACATTGTATACCACACTATTAATAAGCAACCGTAGATATAGAATAGTATTGTGTATACTACTTCTGCCAGCAGTCTTTCAATCACTGTTGTATTCCCTCTCTATAACCTTTATCACTAAATTTACTTACATAGATTTCAAAAGGATCCAAAATCAACCAAATCAATTTACATATTGACAATACCATTGTTAACACTAAAATATAATTCTGAGGAGATCCAATCAAAGCATATGCATATTAAAAACAACTAAAATATTTATCTATCAATTACGTATAATAAGATGGAATTCTTTGAGTCTTCAAAGAAGTTTCAAATTATCTTATAGTTATCAATAAAATAAATAAAAATGCAACACAATAGATTCCAATGAAAGTATAATAAGGGGCAATGTAAATGTCTTACAAATTTTAATAACAATTATCTCCGAATGATCCTATGTCACACTTACACTTTTCATCAATCATTATTCCCTTGTCACAACATTCTGTTTCACAATTCTCCTATATCATCTAATTGTATTAATTTCAAAAGAAAAATATAATTTTTGTTAGTAAATAAGTTTTCAAAAATTTCAATTCCATCATTTTTTTTTATTTCTTCTGTTTTTTTCATAATTTCTGTATTCTAAATAGAATTTTCTCTACAATTTCCTATGTTTTCTATTTTATTTTTAATAGCATTTGTATCTTAATATTATTCGCTTATATATTTATAATAGAGAATTTTCTAAAAAATAGATCATTTAATTCAGTATACTTTATATGTTTTTTTTAATGAATTGAATAGACAAGATCTTTTGATTACTTTATTTTTACTAAATTTGTTGAAAAAATTATACATATTTGATCTCAACTAACAAATAAATATTGACGTATATATATAAAATAATTTTAATAGTATGAACGATAATATAATATAAAAGTTAAAGGAGCAACATGAATTGGAAAAGCAATAAATGATAAAAGAGTTTATGAAGAGAATAGATTTATTGTTATAGAGCAATGTATAAAAGTATCCCGAAGCAGAGAATTGGAAAGAGTTAATATTAAAATATGAGAAGCAAAGACAGAATGAATTATATGAATTAAGATAGCATTTAGAGGTATTATAGAGATCATAAATTAACACAAAAGATATTGAATTTTATGCGGAAAGAAGAGCTTATGAAAATAAGATTAATGAATTATAAAATAAACTGTAACAAGATGATGTATAGGATCTGTATGATACAATAGAATACTAAAGAAATGTTATTTTAGATTTGGAAGATTAGATTGGTCTATTGCAAAATGAAAGACAATAATTAGATCAGCATATACAATAATTGAATTAGACAATAGAAGTTCTGAAAGACAATTTATCAAGATACCAATAATAATAAGATACAAGGAGGAAACAAAAAGCAGAAGTGATAGAGGCAATAGATGAGATGAAAAGAGAAAGGGAAAAAGAGAGAGAACGAGATACAGATAGATATAGAGATTTGGATTCTTTTAGATCTCCCTAACGACCATATCGATATAGTCATAAAAGTTCATGGGAACGTTATAATAAGGATTGGAGATTTTCTAATTAATAAGTACCTTCACCACGACCACCTGTTAGTACAATCCATTATCAGTCATAGCCAATCTTATCATATTAATAAGAAAATAAAGAGATTGTCACTAAATTGTAAGAAATTAATGAAATTAAATACAAATACTAAACTGCTCTAAACAATATATTGAAGTTGGAAGCTTAAGTTATTGAAAAATTACAATAGGATGACATTATAGTAGAGTGATCAATTTTAGATGTATATTTATGCAAATATATATATAGAATAATCAATCTTATTTTAACTTTTATACATTATTGTTATTTGATGCTCTTTCTTTCTCTATTTACTACTACTATTATATTTATTCTTCTTTTTCTTATTTCAATATCATTTATTATTCATTTTCTTTTATTTTAAGTTCTTCAGTCCATGTTCCAGTCATAACTTTAACTATTTCAGGAGATCTAAGAATGTCAATTAGTTCAAAATATAAAATATTTTCACTAAATATTAATATTATTTATGATACCTTTTAAAATCTTGTTAAGATCTAGCAATAGAAATAGCCTGACAAATCATAATTAAATCATCAGGATATACCATTCCTTTAAATTCTAACATCCATATTTGTCCAGAAAAGAATGATCGAATAAAAGTTCCTATAAGTAAAATGACTGATGTATAAATTGTAATTATGCTAAATCCTTATGTTAAAGTTGAAAAAGTATCTGAAACTACAAACATAATTAAACCATTAGGCTAATTTTTTATATTACCTTGATTACAATATTCTAATAAACAGGCATTACCTGAATAAACAAGAGTCCACCAAGATTGTCCTTCCATAGGACTCTTTCCATGACAAAAAAATGATAAATAAGCACTACCTACACTTTAATTAATATTTGAGAATATAGGTTTTGATTTGAATGAAGATCCATCGGCTGAATACAATTATACAGTTTATATGTAAAGGTTTTCTAAAAAAATTTATTTTGGATCACTTGAATTTTCATCATTTCGACATTCCAATAAAGCATATATTTTTCTTAAAATTGGTTCTTGTAAAGAACTTTCATTTTGTCCAGGAAGATCTTTTAGATATTCATTTCCACTAGCAGGATATTAAAAATAGTTTTTAGTTGGGATAATTTTTTAATTATCTCTTGTAAAAATAAATGATACATTAAAGAAAAATTCATGATCAACAATTCCATCAATTTTCTCTTTTAGTTATTCTTATAATTATTAAAATAAAGGAAATGAAATATCCCAATTAGAATTTGAAAAGTTGAGTAACTAAAATTATTATAATTCTCCTTATTTTGGAGCATTAGTTATTATCGAATTAGTACATTCTGAACCTAAAGCTTAATTAATCTCATCTTTCGATTCTAAAGTATTTTCTAATCCATAGAATTGATTAGTCTAATATAAAACAACATTAAGAGCAGTTTTAGTATTTATTAGTGAAAGTTAGAATTCTCCCCCTCTTACAGGATTCAATTCTGAAGCTGGATTTAAACTTGAAAACAATATTAAAGGACCAAAAATACAAACAAATATCACTAAAACCAAACAACAACCACATGTACATTTCTAAAAACCTGAAATTCTTTTTCCTAATGGTTTTAATAAATAACTTTTAGATTAATTTTTTGTAAAATACATTAAACCATGAATGTCTTCTAAAGTAAACCACTAAAATACATCTAAAGAAGTCTAAAATATTTTATAATTTTTAATACCTTTAAGAATGTCCAATCCATTAATACTTTAAGTTCAAATAAAAATGGTATTGCATAGTAAGTTTAAGCAACAGCATAGGATATTGAATTGTAAGATTATAATAAAGTATTTCTAAGTTTCAATTTTTTATAACCAAACCTAAGTTAAAGGGCTGAAACTGTGAAATAAGCTGAATATAAAATAAAAAAACATTCGATATATCCATTTGTTTTAAATTTTGAATATGAAGAGGCAGAAGTAGAATCATGGCCATAAATTGGATTTGCCTTCCAGGGTTAACCTAATTCGAAAAACACCAACCAATATATAAGAATGACTGTGCAAAGCTATAATAAAAACTTGAGGAAAAATTATAGTTTATATATCTAAAAAAAGGACTACTTTTTATTATTACTTTCCTTTACTTCTGTATTACCTTTCATTGTGATATATCTTTCAAAAAACATCAATATAAACTCAACTAAAAGTGCCCATATCAAAGAAGCAGGTATTTAATTTGTTTTCAAAATATTATTAATTTTTATTGATTCACTAACCATATTTGTAAAAAATATAAGAGTATAAATTAATATTAAAATCTAGATACTAGCTGTGATAGGATATAAATCAACACCTGGTCTTGAATATTTATAAGAAAATATTCTCTCAAATAAACTTGAACCATCTTAAATCAAAATCTTTGGATCATTAATTATTCTTCTTTCTATTTCAATACTTTCTTTTAGCTAAAATTAATTATTTTCTTCTTGCTTATTTTATTGATCAAATAAATCATCTTCCAGAATTAATTTTTCTTAATCATCTAATTTTGTCAAATTTTATTCTTAAATAACCATTTTCTTAATATAGTGAGTAAATTTATTTATTTTCATTCTTAAATACCCTTAAAATATATTTTCAATATCCAATAAGCTTCTATAATAAACACCATATTGCTTGGCAAAATAAACTTAAAAGATTATAAAAATCATTAGTATTATTTCATATGAAATGTTTTAACCTCCATTATATAATGGATAATACCAAGCACCCAAAATCCCATTAATATTTTTTTCATTTTATTTCTCCGCTACTCCACTTAAAGAATATGCAAAAATTATCAGAGAAATGAAAAAATAAACAGTGAATGAAATCATCCAAAATATTTTTGATTATACTTTTTCGTCAATCAATATCCACAAGAATAACATAAATGGTAAAACTCCCCCCAAAATTCCACTATTAACTGCATAATAAAATATGATCAGCAAAAAACAAAAAGGCATCCAATAAGTAATTATTAAACTAAAAATTTCTGTAATTATCCTAAATATAAGAATACTTAAAGATAGTTTTTTTAGAGCTGAACAGTATTTAGTGTTTTCAACATAAATTAATTGTTTTTCATCTACTATTTTAACAAAATATAAATCGTTAGATTTTATATAATTTTCATAATTAATTTCTTCTTCTTATTATTTTTATTATTATTATTATTATTATTATGGCAATTCAGGATATAGAGATATTTAAGATTGAAAAATTGCTTATCTTGACAATTTTTATGACAATTTCATTGATTTGATTAACTTTTACATTTTTCGACCATTTCTTGAATTATTATAAGACGATTTTTCTAATTTTTAAATAAGTTCTTCTATGATTGCATTTACATCTAAAATTTAGTTTGGCATAGATCTTAATTTCTTGTGTAAATGACATGAAAATTAATCTAAATATATCAGTTCTTCTTCAAATTAGCTGTAATTTTCTTAAAGAAAATCATTCAATGAAAATTCAACTCTTCTTTTTAAAATAATATTTTAAGATAGTAGATAATCCATAATATTAGGCAAACCCATAAATTTGAATTTATTGTTGAAGGATTGAATATAGGATATAATATTTATGCAAGTCTTTTATGATTTACTTAAACTTTCAAAATTTGTATCTTTCAAAAGTTAAACCTCCAAAATTTCCTCACTTTTTCTTTCCTCTTATACATTTTCAAATTGGTTGACATATACTTTTCTTATTGGTATTTCTTCTTCGCTATTTGATTGTATCAATTATTATTATTACTATTATTATTACTAATATTATTATTATTATTATTATTATTATTATTATTATTATTATTATTATTATTATTATTGTTATTATTATTATTATTATTATTATTATTATTATTATTGTTATTATTATTATTATTATTATTGTTATTATTATTATTATTATTACTATTATTATTATTATTATTATTATTGTTGTTAAGGTTAATTTTCTTATTTTAGATTATCAGCAATGATAACTTTATCCTATGTTTTATCAAGTAATTTTGCATGCCATATTTTTAATTTATCTTATGCTTTCTCTTATGTTTTTTTAAATAATTATTTTTATACAGATGCTTAAATCATGGCAGTGAATTTCTTAAAATTTTTATGATAAGCAAGTGCTCTTGAAATCATTTTTGATTATTATTATTCTAAAATCATAAACTTACTCAAGGATTCAATAAATTGTTGTGAATTTATCAAATCGAAATGAAGTGAAATAAAGAATAATATGAAAATCATACCTCCAAGTTTCATCTCAAAAATTTCTAAGCAAATAAATTCATTTTAGAAATCAGAGTTTTTATTAAAATATTTTGCCTAAACTGCACACCAATTTAAAATCCAAGGAAGTCTTAAAATTGTATACATTGATATTGTAAAAATCGCTAAAAAGAATAAAACTTTAAAATAAAGGCTTTCTCTTTATAAATTTTATTCTCTATTTGTTTTCAAGACTAATTCAAAAATAATCAAAAATACAACAGCTAAAATAAATTCAAAGTAGTTTAAAAGAATTCTATTAGATTGAGCCAATAATATGATTATAGAAATAAAAATAATATGATTAATTTTAATAACTTATTAAACAATTCCAGAAATGGTAGAATAAACTCTATTTTTCCAAGTTTAATAATTTAAATGTATTGAAAATTTAGACCTAGAATAAAGTTTTTACAAAATTGATTAAGTAAATTGTAAATCTAACTCCATTTTAATAGTTGTGGATAAAATCAGTTTAGATAAATATTGTAATAGTAAAAAATATAAATAAATAAGTGAAAGCACAAGAGTATTTAAAATGAAGATCCATTCAATATTATTGTTAGTAATGCAATAATTTTTTTCTAAAAAATTGGTAACAGTTGAATTGGTATTATTATCATATTTGGAACAATCCATAATAGGTCCATTATCAAAGCCAAGATAGGGAATGAAATAAGGATAGTCTTAAAATACTTCTGTCATTTTAATAACGCTAAAAGTATCTTTATTATAATTTTAAGCCATAACAGGTAATAATTCATCATTTTCCTTCAATTCAAAATTTAAAAAGTATATCATAATATATTGTATCCAAATAGCAGCAACTGAAAAAGTATTTAAAATCTTAATATTGGATGTTCCAGTTTTTTACAAAAATAAATAAGCAGCTACACCTAAATAAACTAAAGAAAAAACATTATTAGCTAAAAGAATATTTAATAACAAAATTAAGATAAATACTCTTTGCAAAGTTACAAATCCAGCAGTAGTAAGATTGAGATTAAATATTCTTGATTTGTTCTTATAATAATTAATATCTTTGGCTGCTATTTAAATCTTTTTCAAATCATCTAAACTTAATTCAAATGTTTAATCAAATTGAGTTTAAATATTAATAGATAAAAAAGGATATTTTTTCTTAAATTCTTTTAGTTCATTTTCATTGTCTATTTTCATTTATTCTGTCATTAATTAAGCAGGGCTATTACCTTCAGCTTGATTATGAATATCCTACAAATTTAATATCATAGATCTAGATAAAATTTATCTTGATTCAGTTTTTTATTTCTATACTGAGAATTTATGCTCAAATAATTTGAGTTTTTCTTATTCTTTTTCAAGTTATTCTCTTAAAAACATTGTACATCCAGCATCTACTACATTTGCAAATACAAGTATTAAATAAAATAAAACTTCAGAAAAAATAGTAGATGATGCAGTGTTGATTGTTCCTAAGCATTAATAATTTTTATCAAACTAACCACAAAAACATGTTTAAACAACATTAAGTTCCTAAGCAAATGTTCCAAATATAAACAATCCTAATTATGCATCTAAAATTTATTTTTATTCTTCAATATCAGCTTATTCAATTATTAATGATAAGTATTATGACAAGTAGGTTAAAAATACACAAAAACAACTAAAACCAAAGGAGATTTTCCAAATTGATACTTTTTTATCTATTCTTATTTTAATTCTAGTCATTGTTATAAAATTAGTTGTTTAAACTAAATTTATTTCATCTTCTTTATCATCTTATTCGTTTTGGGACTTAGAACCATAATCTAAATATGTTTTTTTTAAATTTCTAATTTCTAAAATAATAATTTAATAATTACTAAGCTTTAATCTTGTCAATAAATTTTTTTATTACACATTATTTAATAACTCATTATGAACGGTTACAAAATAACTTAAATACAAAACTAAAATAATAAACGAAGCTATTGATTAAATAAAAAAGACTACTGAAAAAACAACATATAATGTTAGTAAATCTGTATTAATCTATGCTATAAACATTATAGGTTTTTGAAGAAATTTGTATTCATCTAAAATATTGATTTTCATAATTTTAACTAAATCTTCTAGATCTTTTTATTGTTATTTCTCTATTTTATCAGTTATTCCAATATCACTGAACCCTGATTGCTCCAATAATGAATCACCAGATAATAGAGGTTTTTCTATTGAATTTGATGTTTAATTTGATATATTTGCTAATTTCAACTTTGTTTTTTAAACTTCTTTAAAAAATTGATAAGTATTTAAAGATATTGCACCAAAAAATATAGAAATCATATCAGGTAAATATTCAAGCCTTAATTTACTTTAATTATATTAATAAAATCCATATTATTGATACTTAAGCTAAATATTTTCATAAAGAGTTGCGAGATTTGAATCTATTATTTAATTGTAATTAGGTAGACAAATGAATTAAAAAATATATCTGATTACAAATGCGAATACAAGTAAGTATAAATATATATACCAGCATGTTGACATGGATTAATAATTTACTTTATTTTGAATGAATCGAAGGGTATAATATAAAAAGAGTCCTCCTATAAAAAAAAATAATCCTAAATTAACAAATGAAAATGGTGTAAAAATGATAAAGCAGATATTTAATGTGAATGTAATCCATATAATTGTTTTCATAAATAATAAGTAAAGAGTTTCTATGGTAGTTCTAATTTTAGTTTGTTTTTTTTTATTACTAATTTTTGATAAAAATATATTAACAATTTAATTTGAATATTTAAGATAAATCTTTGATCTATAAGAGTCATATTAAAGAGCCGCAAAATAAAATAGTACCCAAAATAAAATATCATAATTTTCTTGATTATTTATTCCAATCAAACTAATTATCCATTATTTGTCTTCTTTAATACTCATTTGTCCCATAAAAAATAATATGTATACATATCTTAATGATGTTATAAGACAAATGTATATTAAGAATATGATCCAATATTTAAAAGAGAAAGGAACAACATATTCCTTAATTTCATTTTGATCATTTTTTTATTTGTAAATGCAAAGGGTTGAATCATTAATAATAAAAATCATCAAAAATACCACTAAAACGCCTTAAATAAGGTTAACATCAAAAAATCCAATCCAATAAACTATTACTAAAGCTACAACATATGAAGCTTTTAGTAGAATGGCAAAAATTAAAGTTATCCAACTAACATCCTAAATTAATATTTCCATAAGTTAATTACTTTCAATGTTTTTTTATTTTCAGGACTATTCAATTTAGATTTTTAAATAGATTAAATTATTGATTTCTTCTAATTATATTATTGAACTTATCGAATAAACAAAAAGAATGTATAAATAGTAATGTTCATTATAAGTAGCTAAAAACAGTTTCTAAAATAATTACATTGATAGCTTGTTTATATTCTTGATCGAGATTAAAAAATCCAATTTTTTCACATGTTTTTTCATTCTAAAAAGTACATATGATAAAAGGATTATCAGTTAATTCCATATTAGGTATGGATTAATAATAAAATATTAAGTAATTAATAAAAACAGAAGGCAATGCAAAGACTAAAGAGGTGAATGAATTAATATTATATTAAAGAGTGAAACCTAATAAATGATTATAAATACCTGTAATTAAGATCCAAATAACTGATAGTAAAGATTCATAGGTTTTTTGCATTATTACAATTGTAATCATCAATAATTATAGAACTCTAAGTGTGACAATGGGTTGATCAATAAATTTTGAGAATTTATTTCCTAAAGAAAATAGAGCTGTGTTTAATTTATAAAGAAATGAATTTTAATTCTCTTCATCATCTTCTTCGACATGAGACATTCTTAAAGGTTGTCCTGTTGTCATTTATTTTAATTCATTATCTTCACCTAATTAATTAGGTAATATCTCTAAATTGTCATTTTTTTATTAAATTTAAATATTAGATGTATCTTTATCTTCCAAAATAGTTGTATTATATTTTTATTTTTTAAATAGATACATTTCATAATTGATAATACAATCCTATATTGGTTCTTTAAAGTTTATTTTTCTATCCTCGTTTGTGAATTACTCTTGCATTATACATAAAAATGCAAATAAAATTAAGCTTCCAACCATGAATATATAACTCTATTTCAAAATGTATAATATATTACATTCCATTCATTATTAGTTCTCATCCAGAACATAACATCTAAACCAAAATATTATGGCCAATATGATGTCTCATTCACAAATTAAGTTATAATTGGAGTACCAGCAAAATAAACTATTAATATAGTACTAAATAGTATCATTTTTAATATTTTTAAAACTATTTTATCAAATTTAACGATAGTAGCTTCTTTTTAAAAAAATCTAAAACCAACTATCAATTATAAAATAAAATAAATATATCCGATAATTGATTAATTAGATATTAAAATCATTGCTAAGAATAACCAAATAATTATAAAATAAAATGAAAAGATCTATCTATTAATAGGTTCCCCAAATTATTCTAAATATTTCTTTTTCTTAACTCTTCTTAATGCCATGACAAAGCAGCAAAATATAAATATTAATGAATTTGGTAAGAATATTTTAACATAATCTTTTGTAGTAATAACAAATTTGTTATTTTTCTATAATTCAAAATACACTTCTATTCCTGCATAATTTTCTGGAGTCATAATACTTTCTGCTTATTAAGGATCATTTTTAATAATTCCAATAAAAACACCTTTCATTATTAAACTCAAAGTTGAGAAAATCAATAAAAACATCCAAATAGCTTAATTCTAATCTTTGAATATAATCCAATATAAAGGTTTATATTTAATATCATTATCATCTAATCCAGATGTTTCTGGATCATCATCTTCCAAATTTTAGGTATAACCTGCAATTGTTTTTCTTTGCTTATACGATTCTTTTATTTTATGATAATTCTCAAGAAAATCAATAGGATCTTTGTAAATCTAATTTCAATTATCTATGTATTTACCTTTTTATCAGAATCCTTCTTGTCAAACATTCCAATTTTATATAGCTTAGTTTCCCAAGTTTTTATAATCAACATGAAAATCAACAAGTATATTGTTGAAAGATAACTTTGAATGAAATAGCAATACCCAAGAAAGATTATTAACCCTACTACATCTAATATTCTTAATATCCATCTTTATGTTGCATTAGAAAAAAGAGGTTGTTTCTCTTCCTGTTTTTGAAGCTCTTCATTTTATTCTCTATCATGAATCATTTTGATTTCTGCATCTTACAAATCCTCTAATTATATGTCATTTTCTAACATAATATTTATAAAAATAATTACATTAATATAATACAACTATACAATAGTCTTTGTAATTTATATATATAATTGTAAGATTCTCAACAGGAATGGATATTTTAATAATTTTTTGTATGTCTTGGATATAATGATTCTATTCTATATTCATTTGAAAATACAATCATAATTTTAAATATCTTAATTCAAACAAAAAGATACCATTTTCAAAAATAGATAACTCTAATTCATAATTTAAGATTTGTCATTTTTTATAATAAATTTATTTGAGGTATTTATATAATTTTGTTAGACTTTTGATAGTGTGTTGAACAATATTTTGATTAATGGATATAAAATGAATTGTACAAAGTTTGAAAGAGTGATATATTACTTATCTTTTTTAGATATAAACAGTTAGATTAAATAATTGATAATATAAATAAAATTATTCGTTAATGTCCATTTTGCTTGCAAACGAACAATAATCACTAAGAGAACAGATTTTCAAAATTAAAGATAAATTGTTATCTTTATCTCAAGATTTAAGCAAATATCATGCAGATTTCTAGGAATCAAATAAAACAGCTCATTTTAAAACTTAAGAAGATGAATAATTTTCTCATTAAATATCCCATGAAGATGAAGAAAAGTGTATCATAATATTATAATTAGAATTTTCATAATTGAATTTTATTGATAAAAATTATTAGGTATCAAACTAATGTCATCAATTCAAAAAACTCAAGCCCCTTTTTAAGGTTCCAAGTAGGTCCACTAAGGTTGATCCATTTATTAAGAATTCAATTAAAAAACAAACCCATTTTGAATAAATAAGAGTTTATTCATCAGGAAGACCACCTTAGATTTTAAGATACAGTTTATAAAGAGAAGGAAGGCTTTACATAATGTCACCTTAGAGAATTAATTTTTCTTAAAGAATTTCATTTTCACCTGCAAAAAGAATTTGATATTCCTATTACTATATATATATATTTATTTAAACGAGATAATAAATATGGCATAGAAATATGAAATAATAGTTAAAATTATGTTCATATATAATATTGAAAGATATTTAAAATTTGAAATAATGTATTAAAAGAGAAACTGAATATTTTAAAATCGAAAATTATTTGATAAAAATGACATAAATATTTAAAAAATTTTAATGCAACTTAAATATTCTTGTAATATTATGCCTGCTTTGGATGGGATGTAAAAAGTGAGTGGATTAGCATGGTCTTATAATGGTTAAAAACTTGGAGTATGTACAGCTGATAGAGTAAGTGATATAGATATAAAATTAGAAAATATTATTATTTAATGATTAATTGGGTAAAGAAGATAATTTTCCAACAAAGCCATCAGATAAGACACAATAGAAATCATATGTAGTGAGAGCAATAGAATTTTCTCCAGATTCAACAAAGATTGCAGTTGCATAATCTGATAATATAGTTTATGTATATAAGATTGGAGCAAAATTTAAAGAGAAGAAGACAATTTGTAATAAATTTCCAGCTTCATCTTCAATAACAACATTAATATGGCCAGCATAAAGAGAGAATGATATAATATTTGGATTGGCAGAAGGAAAGGTGAAGATTGGATTTTTGAAAAATAATAAAGTAAATGAATTATAGTTATATTATATTAGTCTTAAATAGCATTTACAACAGAATCGTATGTTGTAAGTATGGCAACAAATAGAGATGGAGATGTTGTTGTATCAGGTCATCTTGATGGATCAATCTATAGTTATAATTTAGATACCTAATAATCATAAAAATTAGTAGTTCATCATTCAATACCATATGCTTTAGCTTATGGTTAGAATGTAGCAGCAGCTGGTAATGATTAGAAAGTATCATTTTATGATAATTATGGAAATCTAGTTTAAAGATTTGATTATACATAAGATGAGAGATGTAAAGATTTTTCAGTTGGTGCTTGTAGTCCTAATGGAGATATTATAGTTTTAGGTAATTTTAATAGGTTTTATCTATATACATTTAATTAAAAAAGATCTTAATGGGAAGAAATAGGTATTAAACATATAGAAAATTATTATACTATCACAGCATTATGTTGGAAGAATGATTCATCTAAATTAATTACTGGATCTTTATGTGGTTCGGTAGATGCTTGGGATATTTCAATGAAAAAAATTAGATTCAAAGGAAAATATGATTTAAATTATATAGGTCCATCTTAAATTGTCATTTAAGTTTTATCTACTAATTAATAAGCTGTTATTAGATCATCTTAAGCTGAAATATCTAAAATTGATATTAAAAAAGAAAGATTTGTTGTTGCTAAAACTCATGAAACTCTTATTGTAGGAGATTTAGCTACAGGAAAAACATCAGAAGTGAGTTGGAGAGGTAGTGGAAATGAAAAATTTGATTTTACTAATGATAATATATGTATGGTATTTAATGCTGGTGAATTAACATTAATTGAATATGGAAGTGATCGCATTTTAGGTACATGCAGAACTGAACATATGAAAAATTCTCTTATTAGTGCTAAAGTGAGTTATACTGGATAGAATAAAACTAAAGTTATTGCATTTTTATTGGATTTATAAACACTTTAAATATAAGATTTAACTACTAAGAGTATAATAGCTACAATTGCTCATGATACAAAAATTGATTTTTTGGAATTGAATTCTCATGCTAATAGATTAATATTTAGAGATAAAAGAAGATAATTATATTTGTATTCTATAAAAAATGCATTTAAACATACTCTGCTTTCATTTTGTAATTATGCTTAATGGGTTCCTGAAAGTGAGGTTATAGTAGCTTAGAATAGAAACAATTTATGTGTTTGGTATTCAATTGAAAATCCTGATAAAGTTACATTATACACAATAAAAGGTGATGTTGAAGAAATTGAAAGAATTCCAAGTACACCAACTTAAGCTGGTTCGACTTCTGTAATAGTAAGTGAAGGTTAAAATAAAGTTGCTTATAAATTGGATTAAGCATTGATAGAATTTGGATTTGCAATAGAAGGAAGAGATCTTGAGAAGGCTGCATCAATTTTAGATAAATTAGAATTAACATCTGATACTGAAGCTAATTGGAAAGTGTTAGCATAATTATCTTTAGAAGAATAGAATTTATCTGTATCTGAACATTGTTATGCTGCTTTAGGAGATGTCGCTAGAGCAGCTTATTTGAGAGGTATAAATAGACTTATTTAAAAATACTATGAAGAAACTGGAAAAAAGGATGGAATATCATATTATAGAGTTCAATCTAAATTGGCTATATTGGATAAATAATTTACTAAAGCTGAAGAATTATTGTTAAATCATAATGAAGTTAATGAAGCAATGGGAATGTATTAAGATTTACATAAATGGGATGAAGCTATTAAAATTGCTGAAAAGAGAGGACATGAATAAGTTAAAGTTTTAAAGGAAAATTATTATTAATGGTTAATTGAAACTGGATAAGAATCAAAGGCAGCAGAATTAAAAGAGAATGAAGGTGATTTTATTAATGCTATTACTCTTTATTTATAAGGTGGATTACCAGCTAAAGCAGCCAATATTGTATTTAATTGCAATATGTCTTTTCCATAAGATTTATTAGAAAGAATTGCTTCTTCTTTAGCATAGAGTGGAATGTATGAAAAAGGAGGTGAATTTTATGAATAAATGGAAGATGATTAATAAGCTTTGAATTGTTATATTAAAGGCAATGTATTCAAAAAGGCAGTTGAATTAGCTAAAAGGAAAGATCCTAAATTAGTCAAATAATTAGAGGAAAGTTGGGCTAATTATTTAGTAGAAAATAAAGAAACTGAAAGTGCTATTAATCATTATGTTGAAGCAGGCAAATTCTAAAAAGCTATTGAAGCAGCAGTCTATAGTAGATCTTGGACTAAAGCAATTTAATTATTATAGAATTAATCAGCTGAAGTATCAAGACCTTATTATAGATAAGTGGCCAAACATTATGAGGATGTTAGATAATACGATTTTGCTGAAAAATATTATATCAAAGCTAATTCTCCAATAGAAGCATTTGAAATGTATGTTAAAGCAAGTAAATGGGATAAAGCACTTTCTATAGCAAGAGAATATTTACCTGAAGAAATTAATTAATTATATTTAAATTAAGGTAAAAAGTTTGAGTAAGCTGGTAAATATAAGGAAGCTGAAAAATTGTATTTAACAGTTTAAGAATATGATACAGTTATTTTGATGTATCAGAATCTTTCCTAATATGAAAGTGTGATTAGAATTGCTAGTAAATACACTCCTTAAAAATTAAAAGATATTCATTTAGGAATAGCTAAAAAATTAGAAAGAGAAAACATACTCAAAAGAGCAGAATAACATTATATTGAGGCTGGTTCTTGGCATTTAGCTATGTAAATGTACAAAACTCATAATTAATGGGAAGAAGCAATAAGATGTTGTAAAATGTATGGATCAGAAAAAGAAACATGTTAATAAGCTAAATTATGGGCAGAATCTTTAGGACCAGATGCTGGATTGAAAATGTTATAAAGATTAAATTTAGTAGATGCTTTAATAGAATATTAATCAGATAGACATGAATTTGAAGAAGCATTTAAATTAGCTAATTTACATGCTAAACATAAATTATAGGATGTTCATTTTAAATATGCTTGTCATTTAGAAGATGAAAGACGTTATAAAGAGGCTGAAGAGAATTTTATAAAAGCTGGCAAAGCTTCTGAAGCTATTAATATGTATGAACATCTTGGAGATTACACAAGTGCATTATAAGTTGCTCGTTAATATGAACCATAATCTGTAACATAAATTTTAATTAGTTAAGCTAAATACTATATAGAAAAGAAAGATCTTTAGAAAGCAGAATAAGCTTATATTTAAGGTAAAAGACCTGAATTGGCAATTAAAATGTATGTAGATTAAGGTAATTATCCTTTGGCCTTGAAAATTGCAAAAAGTCATGCTCCTCATATGGTTGCTGAATTAAATAATAAATATGGTAATGTAGCAAATACATATAACATGACTGGTGAAGATTTATATTAAAGTGCTTAAACTTGGGAAGAATAGAGAGATTATTTAAAAGCTATTGAAATCTATTTAGAAGTTACACCATAAAATACATAGAGTGAAGATGTAATGACAAGAGCATGGGAAAGAGCCATTTAAATAGCTGCTAATTATGATAAAGATAAATATCCAAGAATTGTATAGATAGTTTGTAAAAGATTAATTGAAATTAAGAAATTAGAAACAGCAGCATATCTTTATGAATAAGTTGGACAATATTAAGAAGCAGTTACTACGTATGTTTAAGGTAGAGAATTTGAAAAAGCAAAATAAGTGACTTAAATGATAAATAATAAAGAATTAAATACTAAATTGATGGATTATATTACTAAAGAGTAACGCAAATATGGAGCATCAACAGGATAAGCAAATGTAATGATTGAAACTGGAGATGTTGCTGCTGCTATGGAAATGTTAGCATAAAAAAATGATTGGGGATAATGTTTATAATTAGCTGATAAACATGGAGTTGAATATTTAAATAAATATTTGATGAGATATGTTAAAATTACTATGTAATAAGGAAGATTTAGTGAAACTATTTAATCACTAGCTACATATGGAATGCCTATCATTTAATAAAATTATCCAGTCTATGAGAACTTAGCTATTGAGATCTTCGTGGAATGTGATCCAAAAGAATTAAAACTACTTAGATAAGCTTTGTATGGATTTATTTAAGGATTAGAAGCAGCTCATGAATTAAAATCTGAGACTGGTAAGAAATTCTAAAGATTTGGAATTGTTTCTCATTTGCTTAATCTTAGAAATTAATATGCTTAAGATGGTATTGTTAAATTACATGCTTAAACTTGTATATCATTATTAAGATACTGCGATTTAGTTAGAATTGATCAACTATATTTAGATGCTGGTAGAGTTGCAAAGAAAATCAATTAATTAGGATTAGCATTTGTTTTATTAAATAGATATTTAGATATATATGAAGTTATTGAAGATCCAGATAATAATAATGGATTAGGAGATGGAGCTGAATTCTAAAATAGTGATTTACCATCTCCTTATGATGTACCTATGCCAGAAAAGAATTTAATATCTGATAAAGAGAAAGAAGAAATTAGAGATTGGTTACTTTAATTATCAGTAAATTAAAATTAAGATCCAGTATTGCCAACTCGTCAATGTGATTGTGGATATCAAATTTATGATGCATCATTAAGGTAATAAATTAATATAATATTTTAGATGTTTCAAATGTAAGTAAACATGGGAACCATGTATAATTACTGGTATGCCACTTCTCAAGAATTAAATAATTAATTGTTAATCTTGTGGAAAAGGTGCACTCAAAGATGCATGGAATACATATTTATAAGCTTATCCTACATGTCCATGGTGTAATAAGCATGCAAAATGAAATATTAATATTAGATAAAAATTATAAATTAAGAATATATTCGATTATATATTTATAATTATTTTATATAAATAACATTCCTTGTTTTCGATTAAAATTAAATTAATTAATATTAATTAATTAATATATAATAATTTTCTCTAATTAATTTAAGTTTAAATTGAAAAAAATTGTTCAATATTTCGAATAAGCAGAATGAATTACTTAACTTAAGATAATATTTGTGTAAGTTTATGCCTCTTCAGAATCAATTAGCAAAAATTATTAAACTTTGAGTTTTTTGATTTTCTTAATCTTTATTTCATTTTGCTTGATATAGACTTCATCAATTATAAATAGATTATTTATTCTCATTTTAGTGGATCAACTTTAGGAGTGATCATGATCATTTGAATTAAATCTTCACAATTTTGATAATCTTTGAAAATTTATATTCACAAGCATGCTGAATATTCTCTCTCTTCTGATTAAATATATTTAGAAACAATTTATTCATCCTGAAGTATTTATTGAATTAAAAATCTTTTTTATTTATTTTAAGTTTCTAACTAATTATTTAAAGATTAATTCATTTATTTGAATTCTCTTCATAGCTTTAGAATTATGAATAACTTTTAATTTGCCATTAAGTTAAATAGATTTCTTTCATAATATTAAAACTAGTGACAGATGAAGAAATATCAATGATTATGATATTTTTATATTATTATTTATAAAAGAATACTAACCATATTAGATTAATAAATTACCCTTATGAAAAATCAAATGAGATATCTGGATTCTTTGTCTATACTATTATTTTATCTATCAAAATTGATTGAAAAAATTAAGAAATTTTAATTATCAATTAATATATCAATCAATGCTTCTTTATCTAACAAGCATTCTATATTTTGGAACCATTTGGGAAGGTGATTTTTCTTCATCTACACAATCCTCAACTATTTCATATTAATCCTTTACAGTAGGAGTAAGTTTTTTAAAATAATTAGTTTCATATTCAATTTCAGGAATGTCATCCTGTTGTTAATATTTTTATAGTGGCGATTGATCAATTAATAGAGATCCTTTTTAGTTCCAAAGTGGAGTAGAACTTTTGATAAAATCATCCTAGTCTTATTTCCTATTAATTATTGGTAATTTAGTTAATGATAAACTAACAAAAGTTTCCATTTTCGGAGTAACAAACCAATCATGCTAAAGCGCTTGCTATGCATTTGGCCTAATATTAATATTTTCATCTAATAATAATCGAACAAAATCTTAAGCAGCTGGAGTTATTGATCTATTATTAAGTTTATTAAAATCTATTTAGCATTTTGCATTTTGTTTTAATAAATCATCACTATCACCTTAGAAAGGCATTTCTCCTGTTAATAAAATGAATAATATCACTCCAACAGAAAATATATCAACTTTATAATCATACGTTTCATTTCTCAATACTTCTGGGGCTACATATCCTAATGTACCACATCTTTGAAACAAATAAATTCCTTATTCATTGTAAATATCTGATAGACCGAAGTCTGCAATAACTAAATCTGTTAGACTATCCTTAGTTCTAAGTATTAAATTTTCTGGTTTAATATCTCTATGTATAATTTTTTTAGAATGCAAATAATTTAATGAACACAATAAATTGTGTATGAGATTTTAAACTAAATTTTCTGTATAACCTTCTAATGAATTTTCTATTTATTTGAGTAATTCTCCACCTTGTAGATAATCTATAACTAAATAAACATTATCATCATCCTCAAATACTTCATGCAATTATAAAACATTTTTATTGTCTAGTTTTCTCATAATGTCTATTTCTTTCAATAAACTTTCCTATAATTGTGAATATCATAAAAAATACAAGTTCTTTGTCTTTCTTAGTTAATTTTTCTAATTTAAAAATTTTGACAGCAAAAATGGATGAATCACTAATACGTTCCACTTTATAGACTTTTGCATTAGATCCCCTGCCTATCATCCTCAGTACATCATAATTCTTATAAAAATTTCTCTAGATTGTGTATTTAGATAGGTATTTTTTCCACTTCACAATGAGATCTCGATTTCCAAAAATCTGTAAACATTCTTATTTCCCTGATATTTACAATCCTTCCACCTATATGTTATCACTTATAATTACATTCTAGTGCGATATTGATTTTAAATATAAATTTTTGATGTTGATGTGACAGCTATTTGATATTAAATATTAGTTAATCAAATGATAATTGCATCTATCAACAAGGCTGTCTCTATCATCTCTTATTTAGATTGAGCCTTCTTTTGAAGTTTATTGTAATTCATGATCTATTTATTGAATTTTAGGTAATCCTTTTTTCCAAAGGGTTGTATTCCTTGTTGGGCATTTGTCAAAGACAGAAAATGAATATTGTTTCATTTATTTTTATATTTTTACTCTCCAAAAATTTTTTAATAAGCTATTAATTGTAAAAACTGATATTTTAATAAAAATATGTTTAAATAAAACTTTAATTTTGGAATTGTAAAAAATATTGAATAAAATGTCATTCTTGTGGTTAGTGTTGTAGCTACTATTCAGTAATGTTAACTTTGAAGAATTCATTATCAACCTTTTGAGCTCTAGCAGCCATTAGTTTTGCTAATTTAACTTTCTTATAATATAGCAATCCTGAAATGAGAATTGATACTCCAATTACTGAGCAAATTACAGAAACAACAATAATTACTGTAGAAGATGATGATGATTCAGTCTTTTTGATAGATTTTTGAATAGTTCCTGATGTACTATTATTTCTTTATTCGCTAACTTCTTATTGATTAACACCTTCATCAGTAGTCAAAATAATTTATGTGTCATCATTTTAATTACCATTATTGCTAGTATTACCAGTTGTACCAGTGTTTCCATTATTAGTATTACCATTATTGCCATTGTTTCCATTATTATTATTACCATTATTGGTATTAGTTCCATCACTTGGCGGAGTAGGAATTACTAATAAAATAATATTGAATAAAATACCTGATGTTTCTTCAGTGCTTGGGAAATTTAATTTACTTATGGCAGAGATTGTAGATGATTATTCTAAAACAGTTCCTATTTCAGGAGGTGGATTGAATGATTCTAATTTACTAGCTAAATCAGATAAAACTGATTATGAATTAGCAGAAGCATCTGTTCCTATATCAGCACTATCTATTATTCCCCAATCGACTGTAACTTAATAACTGACACTTTCATCTAAGAATCTCCTACTAGATTTCTTAGTTCCTATTATAAAGTAGTTATAAGGATCTCCTCCTAACTAAGCTTTAGCATATTACAAGAATTTATCTCCAAAGAATTCACCAGTAGTTATTTCTAATCTTGTTGAAACTTAGAGTGTATTTTTCAATGAAATCTTAACTTTACAACCAAGTTTTGCATTTACAACAAAATGAATAGTTCTATTCTCAAAGAAATAATTATTTGCTCCACATTAATCAGTCATAGTCATTAAATCATGATGTTTAGAATGGGTAGTCAATCCAGGTAATATGACCTTATTGCCAACTTGTACTTAAATAATTTGTGGAACAGAAAACTTCCATTTCAAAATCACAAAATCTTCAGGACTTCCAGCTTCACTTCTTTTAGATAACCAATATTCTGATGCTGTTGGATTCATACCTGCATTACTCATATTTATTATTGTATTTGTTGATACTAATGCCACAAACTTAGATTCTCTTAAATTTAAAGGTTCAGGTCCATCCCAATTCCATTCAAAGAAACTATTAATTTCATTGAAAAATAATCCATCAGTCAATTTAATTGGTGAATATAATCTTTTATTAAAGTCTGCTGCAACACTCATGAAATTTAATACTGTAATTTTTCTCTCTGGACACCAATATCCATTCCATGTATTCTTTCTTACACAATGTGTTACATTTGGTCCAAAATATGTATTATTTGTTATTGCTTAACCAATTTATCCAAAGAAATGACCTGTTTAATCTTCAATTAAAACATTTTTTTAACCTGTACATTCAAATGAACCACATCCTCCAAACCATCCTAATTTAGTCCAATCAGAATCCCTCATTTAATATAAAATTGAATCAAATTCACAATTAGTACATGGAGAATTAACTAAATAATGTTATCCTGTAGCATCATGTGCTTTGTGATTTGTCTTAAATACTGCATTTTTACCACATTTATCAACTGTATCATGGGTCAATCTGAAATTGTTGAATTCCACATTATTTATGTAGACTCTTAAATCAACTCTTTAAATTGTACAAATTGAATCGAAATTATCTGAAGGTTTTGATGTAATTGGAGGAAAAGCTGATGATGATAATGTACCCATCTTAACTCCATATGTATAACTACAATAGGGGTTTAATTTTTATGAATAACATTTAGTACATTCTGGTCTCACAAATGGACTCACAAAACTATTTGAAAACTTTATCTAATTATCTTAAATACTCTAAGGTGCACCTCTTAAAACAATTCCGACATCATTTTCAGCAGCTAGAGCATTCTCCAAATGTAGTTCTTATGTAGTTACGGCATACATAATTCCTACTCCACTATGGTATGCAGATAATCCTGAGATATATGTGCATCTACCCTCTGGATCTTATCGAATACCAAAGCAAGCCAAAATAGATCCTGAACAATGGTTATTGTAGAACGATGATTAATAAGCATCTGAACATTTACTAGCCATCACAAAGAATCCTGTATCTTATGATCCTTATCCTACATTTCCAGATACATCGACAATATCTCTTGTCATTTAAGTTGGTACTAATTCATCCATGTAAACAAAATTACCAAGCACAGCCCAATTTGCTATACCTCCATCTGATAATACTCTCTTTTTTACATAGATCAATGCATTATTCTAGAACTTCACATATTAACTGTTATTTATTTATACTAATGCCTTTATACCTGTAAAGAAAACATTATTCTTTATTGTAATGTATTATGAATCTTAAATTGTCATTAACATACCTGTTGTATCATGGAATGAACATCCAACAACTTCACTAGGAGTCTTAATAATTTCACTGTTAAGATTTCTAAAATCTAATCCACTTCTTTGTGTATCATATTATCCACAATTATTAAACTCAACACCATGTAAAACTGTATATCCTCTTCTTGGGAATCCTAAATTAGCCTCAGGCTCTTCAAATTAATATATTAAGACTCTACATCCTAATCCATGAATACTAGGTCCTCCTTCAATCTTAATTTTTCTTGTTAAATGACCAACAACAGCTCTCATATCTAATTGTCCAATACCTGGTTTATCAATAGTTACTGAAGGAGCTCCATAGTGATCGAATTCAAGGGCAGAATTTAAAGTTATGGCGCATCCTGAAATTGCTGAAATGGTTCTTTTTTCTCTTTATTCTGGATCACTGCCTGAAGGTCCAAATACAATTTCATCTCCAACAGCCCAGCCAGCACATTCAGCAACTGTAACAGTTGTTGCACCAGCATCAGCATAAGCAGCTAATCTAGTCCAGATTGTTCCTGGTGGAGTTGAGTATAATTCCATTGCTCTTGTTACTGCAAGAACCTTATTTCCAACATCTAAATTAGCATCTATTACTAATGGGTTATCACCAAATTCTCCATTCAATACTATATTAATCTTTCCAGGGAATGGATGAGTTGAATTACCTGCCAAGAGTTTTCCTGATCTGACCCAGATTCTTTCTGCTTCTAATTTTGTAGATGCTTTTCTTTCATCAAATATTAAAGAGCCCAATATTGTTAAATTGGTAAGTTTAGGAGGATCAACATCTAAAATTACTTAATAAGCTCCTTAAATTATTGGACTATCACCTTCAACAGGTACTTTATTATCTATCCAAGTACTAGGGTTACTCCAATATCTATATCCATCCTCTAATGGTACATCTCCTAAACTATCACATTCTTCTCTACAAATGACTCCTCTGACCTCAACATATTCATATTACTTCTTATTTTTACCAGACAAACAAAGATAAAATAATTTATTTGTTCTATCATTAAACCAATCTCCTTAATTACATGTGTTAGTATCTGGAATTTATTCTATTTTTGTGTAATTTAAGGGGAACTTTCCTCCTATGTTTCTCATAACATCAAATGTCTCTCTATTAGCAGAATAATTAAATCTGAAAATAACAGCTTTATCATTTTAGTTGAAATATGGAGAGGCAAAAACACCCATACTTAAAGGATCACTAGCTCCAAATTTAAAATGAACATTATAAGTAAAACCAGTAGCAAATACACTTGCAAATGATTATTTTACATCATGACTCTTCTTAATAATTTTCATTGTTTCAGCCTCTATGTATTTACTTTCATCTATTAATGGATCCATTTTGAGTGCAACATTTGTACTATCTAATCTATATAGCTTCATATCTGTTCCTGTAAAATCTTATACTGGAGCTGGATTATTAACCAAAACATCCCTTATTGTAACTTAATTCATTGCACAAATAATAGAATTATCCCAAAAATCTTCAGGATGATTAACACATCCTGGAATACCATCAATATGTTTTTTATATGGGATAATATAAGCTCCTCCTGTCACTCCTGAAATTGAACCATCTTAATCCCAGAAGATTTCTCTTCTATGTTTCTACCAATAAATTCGATTAGCTGAATCAGAATTAAATGCCTTTACATTTAAGAATTGTGTATTTTTACCACCTTATACCCACAATTTCATATTCCAGCATACAGAACATGATTCAATCAAAGCAGAATTACTTCCATAATTATAAATTCTAATGTTTTTAGCTAAAAATCCATTTGTTCTTGGAACAACCATAGCTCTTGATCCATCATAATAAGTATCATCTGGATTAGCATTATTTATTGATTTTCCAATAATCAAAGCATTATCTAATACTGCTCCTTCGGCTGAAAAATTACCTTTATGAGCTTAGAATCCTGCAAATTTAGAATCAGCAATCATTATATCTTTGAAATAAATATTTCCCAATTCTTCTCCTAAAATACCACATTCATTATTTTTCCATGTATAGAATTTTTCAAAAACAGCTTGAAGACTTGGATTATCTATAAATGGTTAATCATTAGACCAATTATTTGGATCTATACAAGGGAATTTCCTTGGAGCCATTTAGAAAATACGAAGACCAAATCTTCCATTTGAATGTGCCCAATTATCTTTAAATTCAAGGATATTAAGACCTGGTGGACAAATATCTGATGTAGCTGATGGACCATCTGGATTTGTTTTGATTTCATACCAAAATCCATACCATTCTGAACCTCCTGATCTATTTCTTCTCAAAATATTTTATGGATTTGTAACCCAATATGTAGCAACAGTAATATCTGTTTATAACATGATCCAACTTTATTTTGTACTTGCTACAAGATTATCTTCAATAACATTGTTTGTTTCAATACCATCTTCAAAGAATATAGCATGTCCAAATGTATTATAACAGACATTCTTTTAAACTTTCAAATAATGAACACCATGAATAGTCAAACAACGAGCATAACAATCATGGATTGAGTTACCAACTACATATGATTCGTCTACTTCTCCATTCAAGTGGAAATGAACAGGATATCTACCAATAATTCTTGGTTGACCTCCATATCTGAATTCTGCATATGATATTTTACCAATAGCTCCTTTCTCAGCTCTTCCATGAATCATTAAATGATAACCATATTTCAAATCTGACTCTTCACCTTAAATAACAATATTTCTGGTCAATAAACCAACTTCAACTTTCATAGGGAATTGATCTGTTCCATATGTTTCAACAGCTGAATAATGTTTATAAGTAAGTGGTTTATCTAGTGTCAAAGTCTTTTTATCTACACTAACAGCAGTAATGTATCTCTTTTCACTTTGCATATGTTCAACTTCACTGGAGGTAATAACAATTTGTTCTCCTACTTACCAATCTACTGCATCATCGACTGTAATTTAATTTTTTCCAGCTTCTACTGTACTGGATAATAATGTCCATGTTGGGGTTCTTTCTTTTCCATGAATGGTTAATTAACATTGATGACATCCTAACACTTTATTACCCATAGCAGGCATTTAAACATCATCTTCAACGCCATATAAAGTAATTTATACTTTATGTTAATGTGCAACCAATTCAGTACCGATATTGAATTTACCTTCTCTAATCACAATAAAATGAGCATCCATTGATGTATCTAATTCATCAGAGAATGTTAAAGTTCCTTCAACCAAAACTTACATTAATTTAGGAGTTTTAACATCGACAATAAGTGTCTAACCAGCATTAACAATTACTGAATCTCCATCTCCAGGATATTCATATCCACCCCAAGTATTAATATCTGACCATTTAGTAGCATAGATGAACTATTTATTATTAACTGCTAAGTTTCCATTAACTCTAACTTAAAACACTCCATTTAATTATGTTTATTCTAAATCTTTAACTCCAGTTTTGCATATGATTTAAACTGTAGAAACACTTTAAATAGCACATTGAACACCATCAATATAAACAGTAGTTTAATCATTAACAAATCCAGTACCAGTAATTGTAATCACGGCTTCTTCAGTAAATCTACCTGTAGCTGGTGTGACTGTATTAACAACAGGAACACTACTTGATGAATAACTAGCTGCATTAGTTACTGAACCTAAAGATTATCCATTTACTTAGATCTCTGCATTACAGAATGTTGCAACTGAGTAAGCATTATTACTATTAGATAATACCCAACCTTTCAATTCAATTTCTGCTAATTAACAGGATGAACCAGTATTTCCTCTTGAATCAAATAATCTAATTGCTTTAATTCCTGTTATATCATTTTATGGAACATAAATATTCCAACCTGTATGGACAGTTTAATCAACTGTTAATAAAGTCTACCAATTAGTACCATCAGTTGTATATTAGAAGACTGCGTCTTTCAATTAAATAGCTGGTTTATCTATTCTTGGAATGTATCTCAATTAATGTAATTTCAAAATTCTACTTGTTCCAAAATCAACTTAGATAAAACAATTTGAAGTGGCAGTAGATGTATAATAAGTTGATTATTGTAAATCAAAGAATTTTGAGGCGGAGGCTGCAATATCTGCAGTTAAAGTAACTTCTGATGGTTAAATATATCTTGCAGGTTCTTATAAAGCAGAGTATTAAGTTAAAACAGAATTTGTCAATAATTTTGGAGCTTCACATGAAAGTGTTGTGTAAGTTGCACTTTTGATAGGACAATCGAATCCACAAAGTTTAACTGAATTCTACTTGCTAACAGTATCAAATCCAGTTCCAGTAAATGTGACTGTAGCACCACCAGCATATGAAACTGTGGGATTGTTTGAATTTGGAGATGAAGCACTTACTATTAATTTTTATTTAGTAGCATCTTAAATATATGCATATTTATTATCAACTAAAAGGTTAATAGAATAAACTCCTGCCGGTTGATTAGGGAAATTAGCTGTTACTGAAGTATCAGATGATGCTGAAACAGTTCCAGCTATTTTATGACCCATATGTTCTAATGTTACAACTATTGTTGTGCCAGTAAGTTTAACACCAGTAAATACAAGAACTAAATTTCCTGTAGTAGCCAAGTAAGCTTTTTAAATAGAATCATATATAGCTCCAGAAATGGCTGTAAATCCTGGTGAATTAGCAGAAGTATTAATTGTTAAAGTATATGAAGCTGTAATAGGGATTGCTGAGTTATTTTCAGAAGGCAATTATGATAATGTTACAGTAGCAGAAGTTCCTGATTATCTGGCCATTCTACATTTTAATTAAACACTTGAGACAACCTCTAACTCAGTACAATCAGTTGTACCAACTTTGACAGTTGGTGATTGATTGGCATTGAAACCAAAACCATTAATAGTTAATATTTATCCACCAATTACAGCAGTATCAATAGATGTAATGCTTAATCCAATTACAGTAACCCATATTTTATTTGCATAACCATGTTCAGTTAAAACATAAGTAGAATATTATCCCTGTGGTAAGTTTGGAATTGTGTAAGTGAATGAAGGAGCAGTAAGAGTTGCTGTCACTTTTTCTGTCACTGGACCTTTGAAAACTACCCAAACTGAATTTGTTAAATCTGTTCCTGATAATGTTTCTGTATCCCCTGGAACGTAAGTCTTTTATTAACTTAATACTAAATCAGCAGATGTTAGCAAATCTCTTCTTGCTGATTTTCCAAGATTCAAAATATGATCGTTACCTAATTTCTTGGATTCCTCTGTCCATAAAAATCTCTTTCTTTAAACTAATTTTTAATAATCTGGTTTTTAATGATCATTTTCTGTCAAAATTCTTGATCCTGTAAATTAAGTAGCAGATGCTGGATATGCGTCAATTCCTGGAGTCAAAGTATCATCATATGTAAATAAGCATTGATTTATTGCATCAAGACATGTTGATTCGAGTGTTACTTATAATGTTACAACAACTAATTAAGCAGGTTGATTATAGAATTCATATTTAGCTGGAACTGTGCAGTAAATTACTTCACTTGTGAATCTGCTTTCATCAATTTCACAGATCCAATTAATAGCTACACCAACAAATACAAGAGTTTCTCCTTTAACAAAATTGGATCCTGTAATTTTAATAACAGTTCCTCCAGCTTCAGAACCTTTGGCTTAACTAGTGCCATCTGCTAAAGTAACACTTGTAACTGGAATAATATATTTAAACAAGTTATCGTCATTATCAGCATAAGAATTACCATAATTTTTTCTTGTAATAGTAACTCTGTAATTTCCCGGCATTCCTCCTCTTAAATAAACTTTGATTGAAGTATCTATGATAGATATTACTTTAGCATTATAAGATTTAGTTGTTCCTACTAAAGTAACTTTGATTTCATTAGCATCAGTTCCAAAATTAGTACCTGTTATTGTCAATTCTCCTTTGTAAATTGGTGTAATTTAATTGAATTCTAAAGATTAAACTTGAATTCTTAAAGCATCATTGTATGTAAATGAAGCACTAGTGACTGTTTTCTAATTAAAAGATAAAGAGATGGCTCCAGTTCCTCCAGTTACTTTGGCTGGAGTAAGAAATACGATTTAAGTGTTTGAAATTGATAATGGTTAAACATCATTTCCATCAATTTAGAATGTAAAGTCTCTATTTAAATTTTTAGGGAATCCAGTACCAGTGATTGTAATAGTTGTTCCTCCATCTGGTGATCCTTGGGCAGGTAACACATCAGAAATAACCAAATTAATATTTTCTCCTGTCACTCCATCACCAATTTTAGAAAATCCAATAGCTCTATGATGTACAGCAGGTACTTAATTATCGCCTGCTTCTTTGATATTCTAATTATCCAATTATTCTAAGCTACATGTAATAGAATATGGAGAAGTATGTGTTGTATATTGAATGTTTGTACAATCAGCTCCTGCATATGATATTTCTAAATCAGATTCTGTAATTGTTAAACCATTTCCTTCTTATACAGTTAAAGACAACTGAGATCCTGAGACTAAATAATTTGTCAAAGTTGGAGTTTTTTCATCACTTAAAGTGAAATCACAGGTAGATACCTATTCACAACCAGCCAATATATGTTCTGTTTCAGAAACAACTCCATTTTCTTTTAATTCGTATTTAACTTCGACTTGAACTTATGGATGTTGACTATAAGTAAATAATAATTCATTTGGAATAGGTTCAAATAAGAGATTGGTTGAATCATCTATTGGTTTTTTTACAGCCACTGTAACATCTCCACTTCCAGAAATAAGTTAACTGATTGAAAAATCAAATACAGTAAGACTTTCCACATTTGATCTTAATATTACATACCATGACCATCCATCTTGAGCTCTACCAAAAGTCCAAACAAATGGTCTTTGTCCTGTAAGTCTTTCAATATTATCAGCAATTAAGGATGAAGATGCATCAAATGGTATGTCATAGTTATTCTCTGATACTTAAAATAAATGGTCAATTTCATTAATAGTCATTTTTAATTAGAAAGTTCCACTTATTGGATCTAAAGGTTCTTAGGTTCTTTCTATCTTTTATGAGACTGTTCCTCCATTAAGAGTTGATGATACAATCTTTGGAAGTGCTCTATATTATGTAGTACCTCTGTGTGAATCAAATGTTATAGTATATTTATATCCAGCAAATGTTGCTGCTGAATCTTCTAAATCAGCTCCAGTATTGTCTAATTTTTTGGCTACTACAGTTACTAGGTAACCCCCACCGCAACCTTATATTGCATTTTTAATAGAATTAGCATTAGCGTTTGGCGTTATATCTCCAGTAGTATAAGAATAATATACACCTGTCTATGGAGTTGTCTTAGTACCATATGTGAATTAAAGTTAATACTTACCTGCTAATAAAGTGTTACCATTTGTATTATATAAAGTGAATTCAATGATTTCTTTAGTTGGAGTATAAGATGTTTAAATTTAGTATATACTATTTAATGAATTTGATTTTCTAGTAGGGCTTTCAACTTCCATAGAGAGTGTGAAATATCCACTTGATCCACCATTAAGATGATAAGCTTCAATGTAGTAAAATTCACCTTCTTATAGAGATACAGGTGCTGATATTGTTTTAGTTTCGTAAGAGTAACTCAAATATTCATACCAATAATTTCTATATGGATTCCAACCACTAGCTGCAGTTGCAGTGTCTGGCCTTATAGGTTTCTTAATTTCTGTTGTTTAAATATAGAATTGAGAGCAATCATCAGAGGCAACATAGAATTTATAATTTCCTGTGAATGGTGCCTTAAAGAATCCTCTAAAATATTATCCATAATATTCTCCAAATTAATTTTAAACATCAGGTTCTGGATGAATTCCATCAAATTAAATTCTGCTATCCAATTATGCTTAATTAGAAATGATTTAATTTCTAAAAGCAGCACAATTGAAATTTAATCCTGAAACATCCCATCTTGTATAATGTAATCCACTTCCTTAAATATAGACTGATGACTCAGTAGCATCAGCAATAGTTGGTAAATTACTAAGTTTAGGTATCTTAGCATTGATAGTGGTAGGAGAAGATGATAAAACTTAAATAACTTCAGATTAACCTGTAATTTTAACTGTATTCTCAGATGCTATTGGACTAAATCCATATCCAGAAATTTACAAAATTTATCCTTCTGGTGATGCAAAATTGGTATTGATTCCTGTAATAATTGGAAGAGCTCTAAAATTATATAATAATAATTACTTTGAGTCGTATGTTTAATCTGAGTAAACCTTTTTTTATTTTATACCAACATCATTAGTTTGATATCCGCTTTATGATTTAATAGTATAATCATAATAACCTGCTTTGATTTCTGCAGATACTTAACATACAACCTAATCATCCCAAAAATTAATTTCATCTGGATACTAATCTAAAACTGTGAATCTGTCACATCTATTTGCTCCCATGAATTATCCTTCTAGATATTAAACAAGATTGCTTGAGACAGCCCACTTAGCTCTCCAATAACTTAGACTTCTTGGATAATTTGATCTTGGACTAACATAAAATAATTTTGGAGTATAATGTTAAGAGTAACTAAAAAGGCATTTCGTGGAAGTGGAAGCACATACAGAGTCTGGCTTACCTAATACCTTAACAACAATTTATAGGCCAGATAAGTTATTGTCATCTGGATCTAGTTTTGTTGTTTTACAGTTCATGAACAATCCATTCACTCCTTTATCAGATATTACACAAGGGTATTTACCAACATAAACTGCATTGTTACTAGCAGTTTAATCCAATCCTTAAACCTTATATTGTTAAATGATATTTTTACTTTCATGTATATTGTTGTGCCTCCTACTAGAGAACCTATAGGAGTTGAATTTTCTTGTCCTAAAATCGTTGAAACAGCAAGGATACTAACTGAGTCGGTTGTTGAATCCATTGTTGCATCCATCATGGCTACAATATAATACTAACTTTTTAACCTTCTGATATATTGCTCAAGAGCATAAATAACATAGTTGTAAGTGTGCTAATAATCATCATTTTGTTATTAGAAATAAAAATAATAAGTCTTTCAAAATTAATGAGATCCTTAAATAACCCCCAAAATATCTAAACTAAAAATATCAAAAATTTCAAGTATAAATATATAATAATAACAGTTTTAAGAGATAGAAAATTTTAATATATATGCTAATGGTGATAACATCTTAATAATATTTTCTTTCCCCTATTTTACTTCAATCTAATTCTAAAAATATCTTTTTAAAAAACTATATTCATATATAAAAAAAAATTTTCAATAAAAAAATCTCTCATTCTTTTATCATTTTCATATGAGAATAAGCATACTCTAAAGTGCAGATCATAATAATTTTCAAAGATTCTATGAAAAATATTTTATATTATTTAATCTGTAATTTTTGCGGTTAAATAAATTTATAATAAAATTATACAATATAATATTATTTTATAAAGAATTCATTCCTTTAAATACTTATTTTTTTAAATACATTAGCAAATAATTTCAATGAGTAAATTTAGTAGCCGAATCTCAATTGAAATTTTTGGTAAATTCTATTTATTTTTTAATATGCTTATCCAAGGCAAATATTAATGAGCTTACAAATAGTATTTAGCAATTAATAGATTATTTAATAGTATTTATTTCATTTTTCAAATCTTAAAATAATTTCAAGCTATAGATAAATTACATTATTTGAAATGACTGAAAGAATATTTTGTATTTTTAAGTAAATTGAAGGCATATGAGTTACAGCCTGCAAAAATTATATTCAAATATGATTAATGATATTTTTAAGGGTATCACCTTTGATATCTATTTTGGAGTGAAGTCTTCATCATAAACTGAACTTTAATAAAAATTTCTAATTCATTTAGGCATACTATTATAATTGGTTTTACAATTACAAAATTGAGTATTCTAATAAGAAATCAGATCTATAAACAATACCCAATTTTTTAAAGTAAGAATATTTAATTGGTTTTGGTTTGCATAAATAATTTCTGCATAAGCAAACACCACATCATTATGTTTGTTCTGATAACTCATTGTGAAATTACTATTTTTTTAATTACATTGTTAATAATAAGTATTTATATTTAATTTAACTAGGATTTTTAGAGACTAAATAGGAATAATTTTTTATTAAGAATAAACTAATGATATTCACTATTTTTGATTCTATACTTATAAGCATTAAAAATTCTATGGCTGAATGAAAAGAAATATGAATAAACTCTTTCTTATAGATCTATTCAAAATATCAAAAATAAAAAGAATTCTGGAAGGATGAAAAGGGGCTATAATATATAAAATATTATATTTACCATTAAATTTTATCTTTATATTTCTTTTATCATCCAGATTTATTAATTTTTATTTAGAATTAAATTAAGGATTAAGTCTAAGAATTCAAAGTATAGCATTTTATATCAATATTTTGAGTAATAAAGAATTTTATAATATTTTTAAAGGTAAATTCAGCTATTTTTATTAAATTGAGATATCTTCAGGAACTAGACTTTTAAAAAGTGAAAAATTATATAAAGCACAATATTCTTAAAATACTTAATATCAATAATATTAATAAATTTTATTTAGTTAATCCTTAAAGGCAGTAGATAAATTAATTTAATTATTCTAAAGTTTTTACACTTAAATCAATAGCTCTCTAATCAAAAAAGATGTAAGTATAACCACAATATATGTTTAAATAGCCTGAAAATTTCTGTTTTGCTACTTTTCCTTTTTTTTTAATATTATTTATTGAGTAAATTTGTGTTATTTTAGGTTCTAAATTTCTAAAAAATAATAACTTTGAAATTTACAATAATCTTTTCCTTTGACCAAAAAATGTTTTTCTACTATATTTCGTTACTTATATTTTCTAAATTAAAACTTTACTGACCATCAACTTATATTTGATTAATCATAAGACTATTAATTAATTTTTCACATATTTAAAAATGAGAAATAGAGGAATCATAGGTTTCCTTTAACTATTTGCCATATTCTCTTCTGATTACATTATGTTGCTTGAAAAATTATAGAATACTTTGTATTTCAATTACAATTTCAGCTTTAATTGATTATTAAAACTCCGCTTCTTAAATTGATTAGTTAACTGGAGTATTTAAAATATAAATTAAGATGTTTTAATATTTTTTTTCACTCTCATCAAATTAAACAGGAGTGAAATTTGTTGAAATATTTTTTGATAAAGATACACATAAAACTTTTCATTATCTATATTCAAATTTTTTAAATTATTTGGATTCATATAATATATGGAGTAGTTTTTGGGTGAAATTCGCCATTTAAAGTTTTTAAATATAAAATATTGATTTTTAAATTAAAATATATCATAAAAAATACAATTTAAAATTTATATTTAAGATGAATAAGAATATAGAGGATTTTTCTAAACATGATGCTATTAAAAACAGCAATTTAATGATCCTTATAGAACAACTTTCTAAGAATATAAATAGTATGGAGTAAGGTAAAATCTTAAACACTTTTAATAATATCTATTAGTAAAGTTTTAGTAGCGTAAGAAAAATTGGGAAAACTTTACAAGATTTAGATAAGAAATATTAAATACTTTTAACACGTTTTAATATTAATAATTGAAGTAAAATGGAGATATAGTGTAGCCAAGATCTGCTAAGATTTCAGCAGATTATTCAGATTATTAAGAATTGAGAAAATCAAGACAGATTGTTTAGAAACTCTCGAGTTTTAAAATCAACTTAAGTCATTAAATTAGAAAAAAGTAGGAAGTAACTTAACTCAAAAAAAAAATTCGATTATAAGCTGACTTATTTAAGGGAATTAGTTTCACCTGTATTTTTGCTTGGAGGATCAAAAATTATATTCTTTGATGATCTAAAATTTGAATTATTATGAATCTACATTGATCTATATATTTCTTTTTTTGATATATTAGAAATCTATTTATTTAATTTAATTTGACTAAAATTTTAGCTTAAATTTAAAAATAAATCATTAAATTAATTGAATTTCATCTCCTGCAGTTCTTAGACAAGCACATCCAAAAAATTCCTTTCCTTCAAAAGCTACCTCTATTTAAAGGGATAAATTTTAAGTAGTATTAATAAGAAGTAAATTACCTTCATCTAAATCTACTTTGATAACAATAATATCATTTGTATTGATTTAAAAATCACTCTCCTTTGAATTCTGATCATCTTTATGATTATTATACATAGTTCCATTTGAAGATACTAAATAGGACCCATGCCCTATATCTTGATATCTTTTTAAAGAATGCAAAGTAGATAATTCTGTTATGCCAACTGCATACCAAGAACTTTTCACCTAAGAACACCTATTAATTAATATGAATTCATACTTAAATTTCCAATATTTTCTTTATTCTGATATTGGATTATTAAATAGAACAAATCTGTCTTTCTTTTTACTTGCTGTTTATTTGACAAATGCAACTGTTTTATCTAAATTTATAAAGATGTCTGGATCTTTATAACGATTGGAAAACCTAAAATCCTATTTTTCGTTACTTTAAAAGTTTGTCTTTTTTGTTTAATTCATTTTCAAGTTGTTATTGTTTTCGAATTAGATTTTAAATTTCTTTATCATGTTATGATTTTATGTATATCAAACAATCATTAAATTTATGATTTTCAAATTATTCTCTGATTATTTTTTAATTACAATTTGGACATATCATAGGAAATTTTGGACATTTAGTTTAATGAATGTAATAAAGATGTAGATAAAATTACTATGAACAACCAAGACAACAAACAGGTCTTAATTAGCATTCATATTTGTGTATATTCAATTATTATACTGAATATTCTCCTTAACAATAACAACATTATTCAATGTTTTTATCACAAATATCAAGATGACTATTGTAATTCTTAATTTTAATTAATGTATCACATTTTGAACATTTAGTCATAGCCTCTTCACATTTTAGCTCATGCATTTATAATTTAAAGTAACTAAACTAATAGAATTCTTAAATTTTTTTACAAATTAATGACAATGAGAACATTCACATTATCGAAAGTTACATTCATAACATCTATGCCTTTGAATATCTTTCTTAAATTTAATAACATTGCATTTGTATTTATCATCTATCAATCCACAAACTTCCTCCCTAAAATCGCATTAATTTACATGTTTATCGTAGGCATCATAATCAATTATTTATGAACATCCTAAAATCCTTCTTATATTCATACCTTAACTATTATGATGACATTTAATTTTTAACTAACTCAATAACTATCTTAAAAGTGGAAATGCTTTTCTTGTCTCACATTGACGGTTACATAAAGGGCATTTTGTACTCTTTCTCATTATAATCATATACTTACTTACTTCTATTAGTGGCATTTTTTGCAAAAATGATTCATGCAAGAGTCACATGATATTGGATCCAAATATACATTTAAACAAATTGGACATTTAATATCATAAGGATTGACATTCTGAAGCTATTCATTAGAAAATTTACATTGCTTAATACTTATTCAACTTCTATGTAATAATCTTCTAAATCATTTTATCCTTCAAATTATTTTTACATGTTATTATATTATAAAAATTAATTACCATAAAAACTATAGAACTCATAAAATGCAAAAAAAAACTTTGAAGAAGACTTTAAGAAATAAATCTTAACTAGTTTTTAAGAAAAAAAATTGTACAAATATTTACGGCAATTTTGTATTTAAAAGAAATGCTTATTTACTTGTAAATTTAAATACTAGATTAAATATATAAACTTAATTATACTTGAAATCTTGAATTCGCTGAAAAATCTGAAAATTTATTTCTTATATTTACTAATAAAAAATAAGTTGAATTTATGAAAAAATTCAAAGAATCATAATATAAATATTAATAACTAAATAAGTAACTAATACTTGATATTCAATAGAGAATTGTATTGATTTATTATTAAATATTTTAGTATTTATTTAAAAATGAAATTTTCCCGCTTAATTAAAATTTAAAAAAATAAACATATAGCTGCACTAAAAATCCTAATAAGAGGACAATTATGGTTTTAGTAAGAAAATGATGGCAAAATTTTCTTTAATAGTTTATCATAAATTCAACATTGGTCCAGGAATTATTTTATCTTTTGCTTCTTCAACTCTTTTGATTAAAGGCAAAATATCATAATCTCCTACAATTTTAATTTCATGATCTGACAGAATTTAGACCTAGGTTTTCCCTTCAATATGTACAATATTAAGCTATTGTATATAAAATAATAATACCTTTGCATTTTATGGTAACTTAAATATCATGATTGGTAATTGATATATTTTACTTTATTGACCTTGTAGAAAGTCTGATTCATCTTTTTAGAGCGGCCTTAAATTTATATCACTTTAATAACATACTTGTTTTGATCAATTAAAGTATTTATTCTTTTTGCCTAATCTGTCAATTTTTAAAATAACATCTTTTTCCTTTTAAGTTCTTCGTATTGTTATTGCTAATTCTTAGATAGTATTATACTCTTAACATTTCGTATTTGTCTCTCGTATCTCTTGCGTATCTACTTGTCATGTGATTCTATTGAAACATTGATCCTTTTGTTATGATCTTTTTTTGTTTTTCTAGTACTCCTAGAGCAACCATTACATTTATAGAATCATAAACTCTACGTTTGAGGTTTTTACTTTCTGACTGTAAAAATATAAAAATTTAATTATTATATTTACAGATAAACTTGATTTACTTATTTCTGAAGCAAGCAAATCTGCCATCTGTTTATATGTAGTTTCTCTTAATGATCCGACAAGACTGTGAACTTTGCAGCTTAAATATTTGAGGCTGTGATGTTTTTTTCNGAAATAAATCTTAACTAGTTTTTAAGAAAAAAAATTGTACAAATATTTACGGCAATTTTGTATTTAAAAGAAATGCTTATTTACTTGTAAATTTAAATACTAGATTAAATATATAAACTTAATTATACTTGAAATCTTGAATTCGCTGAAAAATCTGAAAATTTATTTCTTATATTTACTAATAAAAAATAAGTTGAATTTATGAAAAAATTCAAAGAATCATAATATAAATATTAATAACTAAATAAGTAACTAATACTTGATATTCAATAGAGAATTGTATTGATTTATTATTAAATATTTTAGTATTTATTTAAAAATGAAATTTTCCCGCTTAATTAAAATTTAAAAAAATAAACATATAGCTGCACTAAAAATCCTAATAAGAGGACAATTATGGTTTTAGTAAGAAAATGATGGCAAAATTTTCTTTAATAGTTTATCATAAATTCAACATTGGTCCAGGAATTATTTTATCTTTTGCTTCTTCAACTCTTTTGATTAAAGGCAAAATATCATAATCTCCTACAATTTTAATTTCATGATCTGACAGAATTTAGACCTAGGTTTTCCCTTCAATATGTACAATATTAAGCTATTGTATATAAAATAATAATACCTTTGCATTTTATGGTAACTTAAATATCATGATTGGTAATTGATATATTTTACTTTATTGACCTTGTAGAAAGTCTGATTCATCTTTTTAGAGCGGCCTTAAATTTATATCACTTTAATAACATACTTGTTTTGATCAATTAAAGTATTTATTCTTTTTGCCTAATCTGTCAATTTTTAAAATAACATCTTTTTCCTTTTAAGTTCTTCGTATTGTTATTGCTAATTCTTAGATAGTATTATACTCTTAACATTTCGTATTTGTCTCTCGTATCTCTTGCGTATCTACTTGTCATGTGATTCTATTGAAACATTGATCCTTTTGTTATGATCTTTTTTTGTTTTTCTAGTACTCCTAGAGCAACCATTACATTTATAGAATCATAAACTCTACGTTTGAGGTTTTTACTTTCTGACTGTAAAAATATAAAAATTTAATTATTATATTTACAGATAAACTTGATTTACTTATTTCTGAAGCAAGCAAATCTGCCATCTGTTTATATGTAGTTTCTCTTAATGATCCGACAAGACTGTGAACTTTGCAGCTTAAATATTTGAGGCTGTGATGTTTTTTTCTTTCTAAAGAAATAATAATAAAAATATGGCAAATAATTTACCTTTCTTTTTGTTATTACTCTATTATTAGAAATCATTTTCTTATTAATCTAACTATAGCTATTAATATGTATCCTGTTTTTTTTAATTTGACATCAGAAAACCTATTGAAGAAGGTACTTCTTGATCTGCAAGTCTTAACAAAGTTTTCTTAGAGCCGTCATCGTATACAGATTGACTTTTTTGATCACTTCTACTTGCACAGTCTGGTATGATCAATTGCCTTATACTTTTTTCTTAAGTCTAGAAAATTAAGGTATTAATAACTTGTAATTGCATCGATGGCGCTCTAATAAACAAAATTTTTTTATTAACATTAAATTTATTCAAAACTCATACTAGATATTAACACATAATTTTAAAAATCAAAGGCACTCATATAGCATTGACTAGATGGTTATTTTTAACTTATACAACATAATAATTATTGTCAAACATAATTAGTGGATCATTGATAATAATCATGAATTATCATTTTTTTTATTTTCTATAAAATATTATAATTCCCTATATTTTAGGTTAGTACTCTGTGTGGGTATTAATTTTTATTAAGCGAAACACAGCCCTTCCCATTGTTTTGATAATGAGATTTAAATTTTTGAAATATTTTATAACAGATAATAAATTATAAATTTTAGTTTTTTATCTAATTAATAAAAGAATAAAAAATTTTATTTTGAGTAATAAATTTTGATTTCTCTCCACCAAAGTTTATTTTCCCTTATCAAACATCATTAAACTAAATTCCTTTTTTAGATTTCACTAACTCAAACTATTAAAATTGAGAATCACTTATAATGATCAATCATTAAATCTGTGATAACTTATCTAAAATTAAAACAACTTATACTATTTATTGTTGCATACTAAATAAATATCCCTTACAGTTGATTTTTTTTTAGTTTATTTATTCCTTCTTTAAAAAGATATTTTTTTTCTTTCATGTTTTATTAATCTTTAATTCTTATTTAAATAAAATATTTAGTTTTAATTAATCAATTGTGACTTATATATATACGATTAAAATCAATACTATTCTGTATCTTTTGTTTCTAGATGTTAATTTATTTAACTAATATCATTTAATGATTTGAAGAGGAATGGAATCATTACAGCAATCTAAAAAAAGTAATAACCAGACAATCGTATTAATGTATTTCCTATTAAATTGAATTTACAACCACCCTCATATTTTATATTATCATATTTTCTATAAAAAATTAAAGAAGATATAATTACTTTTATTTATTCAACATAATTCCAGTAATTTCAGCAATAAGAAATAAACCCCAAATAACAATTGGTTGATAGTATTCTCTTGTAAAATTCCAAGTTTCATTATCAAATTTGCAATTGCTTATAAAAATAGTTTTCTTAGCAACATAAGGCACACTTGAATTGGTTAAAAAGAAAAAATAATAGAAAAGAATCCAAAAAAGATGTTCTAAATATGCACCATGTTTACCCTTTAAATTAAAAATATAAGAAAATACCTTCAAAGATTTTTTGGTTTCACTCATTTTAGTAATGAATTGTAAGTCAGGAATTAAATAGAAAACCCATCTTCTTAAAAATACAGTAAGAAACATGGATGAATTATTAGCTCTCATAATACCAAGAATTAAAATATTATACCAAAATTCAAATGTCCAAATATCAACAATATTTAAAATGCTAATTTATTTAATACAAAATACCCTATTTTCATTCCAAGAATGATTAATTAAAGTTAATAGATATATAATTCAGCAAATTAAGTTTAGTTATAAATATAATCCATAAAAATTTCCATAATCCAATCGAATAAGGGATAAAGGTATAAAAAGCTTTACATTCCTTCAGTTTTACCTTAACGATTCTAGAGTGACTCTACAACATTAGGTATAGCATAATAGATGAAAACCATTAAGATTAGTAAAGCAAAATCATATAAAAATATTCCTGCTCCTTTTTTAAAAACAATATCCCAATCTTTTACTCTGAAAGTATTTAACAAAACAACAACTCCTATGCAATAGACTAGTATCACGTAAACATAATCTTAATTATTTTCAATCCAGACAACTAGAATGAAATCAAAAAGAATAGTAAACAAAAATAAAAAAATGTATTCAGTAACAGGTTCTTTATGTTTTAAATTACTTGAACCCATAGCTATTCTACATAAAAACTGTTTTCTATATACGATTAAACCTAATTTCCACATCTAATGAAATATAAATTTAAAACTACAATGAGTTATCTGGCCCAAGACCAAAGTTTTGCTCCAAATCCATCACAAGTGCAATATTCTTCCGGTAAATAACAAAATTAATTGATGGCTCGTTATAGGAAACTCTTTTTAAAATAAATACTTACAAATTAATGACATATAGAATGAATATTATAAATAAAGGTAAAACAGTTTAAAGTAGAACATAAGTTAAATAGTTGTCAACAATTGGTGGCATGATTTCACTAACTTAATTTCCAATACGATCATAATAAAAGGAATTAGCCTTACTCCTACTATTAGGGGTTCTTTATTTTGAAACATTAGTAAATGCAGAGATTCCATCAAATGATCTATCAATTCTACTTTTAGAGGCTGAAATTTATTATTGTTAATATGGTTGGAAAGGTTAGAATATTTATGATTATGAACGAGATTATTGAACTTATTGCTATTATTATTTGATTGGACTTGGAGCTTTATTTATAGGATCTTAATCTTAGATAGTTTATAGATCAATTTATTGTTAATTGATTGGAACTTGAAGACTAATATTTTGACTTTCCAATCTTTAGTTTTGATTTATGATTTAATCATAATTATAATTGAACATTTGAGATTCTTCATCAAATTAAGATCTATCATTTTTTGGATTAACTTCTTGAATAGATGAAAGAGATTGCTCTGAATTGATTGATTATTCATGTTCATTTTTTTCTTATAAAATATTAAATAATACTAACTCTCTATTGGATATTGATATTTGAATGTAGATTAAAATTGAGACTTATTACTAGAATATCCTTTAGATGCACTATCTGAATTGACTTCTCTAATTTAAGGATTCTTTTATGATAAGTCCATACAAATTTTGAAATTGGTTAATAATAATAATAATAATGAAACAATAATATTCAAAATAGTTAGACTAGTAATAGGATTATGAATAAATACATGGAATAGATGATTTCAAAGATTTATTTTAATTAGCGTCGATAAATGATGGATCTAGTCTATAGAAAGTGTAAAAATGGGGAGGAGATCAAGGATTACCAAAATAATTAAAATCTCATTAGCTGGTATTTAGTTTGAATTAATAAAGATAGAAAGGAATAGATTCAGAAGCTTAAGTAATAGAAAATAGAGAGAAATATGGGAATAATGATCCAATTGAGAAAGAGTCAGAATCTTTATGTGATTTGATATTAGAATGTTTTGGAGATACTATGCTTTAGATTTTATTATTGGCAGCTTTTGTTAGTACGATAATAGGAATGATAAATGAAGGTGTTGCCACTGGATGGACTGAAGGGTATATAAATAATATTTATACTTATTTAGTGCAACAATATTTTTTGCTGTATTTTTAATAGTATCAATAACAGCTGGTAATAATTATTTAAAAGAAAGACAATTTTAATAATTACGTAGAAAATTGGATGATGGATTGGTTTAAGTGGTACGTGGAGGAATTGTAGAAATTTCAGTTAAGGAAATAGTTGTTGGAGACATTCTCTAATTTGGAATTGGCGATATTTTCACAGTTGATGGTATCAATCATATTTTATAAAAAAAGGATTAATGATATAAGGATCTTAAGTAAAAGTAGATGAATCTGCTATGACAGGAGAATCTGATGAAATCAAAAAACTACCATATAGTGAAATGATCCAATAATCATATATCTCTTTAGATAATCATCATTGTAGTCCTTTTTTAATTAGTGGTACTAAATGTTTGGATGGAAATGGTTATATGCTTGTTTTGTAAGTTGGTTAAAATACTGTCTAAGGCTAATTAAAATTATTATTAAATTAAGATAATCCTCCAACACCTCTATAATAAAAATTAGAGGGAGTAGCTGAAGATATTGGTAAATTGGGAACATTAATCGCTATCTTAACTTTTATAGCTTTGATGGGACATTTAATATATGATGTTTTTGTACTACATAAACATGATTTCTTGAGCTTAAAAACATTTTCATTTATCATAGAAGCATTTATGATAGGTGTAACTATAATAGTTGTTGCAGTACCTGAAGGATTGCCTCTTGCTGTTACGATAGCATTAGCTTATTCAGTAGGAAAGATGAAAGATGAATAAAATTTAGTTAAAAATCTTGCTTCTTGTGAAATAATGGGTGGAGCCAATAATATTTGCAGCGATAAAACTGGGACTCTAACTTAAAATATTATGTAAGTTACTTCTCTATGGTGTGAAAATAATTATATTAGTTATTAATAATTTGGTTAAAACAATATACTATAAAAATGTACAGTAGAAATTATGGTTGAATCTATTTGTTATAATTCTAATGCTAATCCTACTAAAGATAAAAGCACCAATAGATGGATTTAAATTGGTAATAAAACTGAATGTGCTTTGATTGAATTAGCTGATGTATTTGGATACAAATATTCTAATTATAGACAAAATGATAAAATTTTAAGATAGATTCCTTTCAGTAGCAGAAGGAAGAAGATGAGTAGTGTTGTGTTGAATTAAAAAAATTAAACTGTGAGAATATATACAAAAGGAGCTTCAGAAACAATATTATCTTAATGTTAAAAATACATCTCAAAAAATGGATAGGAATAATTACTAGATAAAACAAAGAAGGATGAAATATTGCATAATGTAATTGAAAATTATGCATCTCAATGTTTAAGGACTATAGCTATTGCATATAGAGATTTTGAACCATAAAATTCTAGTTTTAAAGGTTCAACTGTTAATATGAAAGCTCATGTTCATTAAATCCCTGAAGATGATTTAGATAAAGATTTAACATTAATAGCTATATGTGGTATTAAAGATCCAATCAGATAAGATGTTCCTAATTCAATCAAATTATGTACTTAATCTGGAGTCATGGTGAGGATGGTGACTGGTGATAATATTATAACTGCATAATCAATTGCAAAAGAATGTGGAATATTAGAAAAAGGAAGAGCTTAATAAGAATTTGAAGTAATTGATGGTTAAAAGTTTAGAGAGTTAGTTGGAGGATTGGTCATTACCAAAGATGAAGATGGCAAGGATATTAAGAAAATTAAAAATATGAGTATCTTCTCTAAAATTAGCAAAGAAATGAGGGTTATGGCAAGAGCCTCTCCTGAAGATAAATATTTATTAGTTACAGGTTTAATTGAAGAAGGCAATGTTGTGGCTGTTACAGGAGATGGTACAAATGATGCACCTGCCTTAAAAAAAGCAGATGTGGGATTTGCTATGGGAATAACTGGATCAGATGTTGCTAAAGATGCAGCAGATATTATTCTTATAGATGATAATTTCAGTTCAATTATTACAGGTATTATTATTTTATTTGATTAGCTATGAAATGGGGTAGAAATATTTATGATTGCATTAGGAAATTTATTTAATTTTAATTAACTGTCAATTTAGTTGCACTATTTATGTCCTTTACTGGTGCTGTGATATTAAAGTAATCTCCCTTAAATGCAATATAAATGCTATGGGTCAATCTAATTATGGATACTTTTGCATCTTTAGCTTTGGCTACAGAACCTCCATCAATTAAAGTACTTTAGAGGTAACCATATAAAAGAACAGATTAAATTGTATCCCCTACTATGTATAGGACTATAGTTGGGGCTAGTTTGTATTAAATAACAATTCTATCATTTATTTTATTCTTGTTACCAAAGTACTTTGATTGTTCTCTTCCAGTTGAACTTATTGGTCAGAAAGTAATGTTTTTAATTTTATTATAAGTATCCCTAAAATGTAGTATAAATGAGCATCTTCTTCTAAGCTTTTGTCTTGATGCAAGTTTTCAATTCAATCTCATGCAGATAATTAGATTATCATACTAAAAATCCATTTTCAAATTTTTGTAATAATCCATTATTTTGGGTGGTTCAAACTATTACTGTCATAGTTTAGATTTTACTTATTTAATATGGTGGTAAATATGTTAAGGTTTCTCATTTAACTTTATCATAACATTTACTTTGTTTAGGATTTGCAGTATTTGGAATTGTTTTTTCAATATTATTTAAATTTATACCTGAAAGTTTATGCCAAAAAATTCATATTTTTAGAGAAGATGAAATTAAAACTGAAAAGATGGATGAAACTCTAACAAGTAAATTAAGGAGAAAATCAACTATGCGTTTACATACTAGTTAAAGAAGTAAAGTAGATGCTGAAAGTCTAAAATAAATGAGTTCATAGAAATTATGAAAATATTATATATATATATAAATCATTTCGGTATTAAATTTAGATATTTAATTTAATCATTTGATAATTATTATTTATTACCTATGCTATCATATATGTATTCACCATTTAAGAGTAAGTGTCCTTCATTGTCTAATTAATACTATAGGGATTGAGATTATAAAAATTAAAAGGATTAAAGTTATTAAGAATCTTCTAACTCATTTATTTAAGGCAATGATAACTTCTATGATCTACTTTTGTATCTAGGTGATAGAATAAGATTTTAACTATTATTTTTTAAATATAATGACATTTCTTCATTAAATCGTTAATATTTATCGAAATCATTAGTTTCAACCATTTTTTATTTAAATTCTTGATTATATTCTTCTATTTTAATCGTTAAATCTTCGATTTTTACATTAATTTCTGAATCCATACTATTAATTTAATCTAAAACAGAATATTTCATTTAATTGATTTGCTCAATATAAAATTATTATGATTTCTCTTCTTCAATTATAAGCATTTTTTAAACATTTTATAGTTAAAATTCTAATTTGTGCATGTCTTCTTAAACAATATTAATTGCATCCATCCATCCATTCTCATAAATTTTAGCAATATGTTATTCTGTATTATTCATTCTTTCCATCAATTTACTAATTTACATTTACATATGCTCATTTAAATCATTTTGTTGATTTTACAATTAAATCACTTGATTTTTAAATTTATCTACAGATTAGGATTTTTCATCTAATCTACTCTAAGCATAACCTGAACTAACTCTATTTTCCTTTGAATGATTTCTACATTAATCTGGATAGAATGTTGCAAAAACAGGTTTTATTCGCATATATTGATTCATTTTTGGTAATTTAAATTAATTAACAATAGTGAAAATAATGTAAAAGTAAACAATAATTTATACCTATAAAGAGATGCTGTGGAATTTACCTTAAAGTGCTTTTGTTTCAAATACCTATATTACAACTTGTTTGTTCTTCTTTTCACACTATTTTAGTATTAGAGTGCTCCAATGGCTCTCCCTTTTTTATTAACAATACTAAATGAAATAATATTATTGTTAAAATGCACTGAAGGGAAAGCTTAGAAATAATTTGATCATTTTATTCACATCTTACTCTAAGTAAGGAAAAATGATATATTATTTTTAGATTTATGTCATAATCATTTATTATTTAGGTCTGAATTATTACATCTTCTGCAACATATTTTTGATTCTATCATTCATTGTTAATATAAGTTGCAGTAAAAGTTCAGAAGAAAAATTGGAACATTCCACCATAATTAAATTGGTAATTTACTAAACTTATAGATATTAGACAATCATATTTTATCGCTTTTGTTTAATAATTTCTGTGTTATGTATAACTTTGAAATTGAATTCTTATGTAAATTGGTCATGGGCTTAAGCCTTTTGGTGGTATTGGATGTTTTTAAGTGGTTTAGTTGGAACAACTATAACAGTTTTATTGATATTGATTTCAAAAATAATCAGCATTTATAATCGCTCATAAATTTTGAATTACAAAAGTGAAAGTAAATATGATTTTAATGTAAGTTAAATCTTTAATATGGACATTATATATCAGTGCAATAAGTAGTTTAATTGGTGGAGTTTGGATTATTAATACATTAAATGTTTTAGGAGTTGATTTGGATATAAAATTTGGGGATTATTTAATGTACATTTTAATTTCATTTAATATATTGATTTTTAGTGGAATATCAAAATATTTGTTCATTGACATAGTAGAATTTATTTTGTCATTAAATTAAATAGAATCTCCAGAATCATCTCCTAATACTCCTTGTTAGAATAAAGATTAAAAGATCAAAAGAGAACCAACAAAGGCCTAAATATTCTTATAGAAACTATCATCAGCCTATTTTAAATAGATTAAAGATCCTGAAATAGTAATATTAAAATGTACAAATCATAATGAAATTGATACTGAACGGAATACAAATAATAGAAATATATAGAAATCTCAAGATCTTTAATAGTAATCAAACAGTAAATGCATAATATGTTGTGAGAATCCATCGAATGCTGTATTAATGACATGTGGACATGGTGGAATATGTTATTAATGTGCAATATAAATGGCTTAGAAAAGCAAGGAATGTTTTTTGTGTAGATAAACTATTTAAGAAATATATGAGATAGCTAATAAAGATGTTAGTATGTTAAAGAGAGTAATTTCAAAAACAAGAATTTATGTGTGATACTTAAATATATATATATAATATTTAACTAAAATGAAATCTCAGTTTGAGGTATATTTGAGATTGAAACCATCAAATAAGTAATAATTATAATCTAGGCAGTCAATCTTAGAATGGAATGCAATATAAATTATATTAGAATAAGAGATTATAAGTGTTATTACCTAGACATGTGAAATTTGGATTGATCAATAATAATAGAGATAATTTAGAATTCAATTTTACAAATGTTTTTGATTAGAAATCTTCATAGGAATAAGTATTTAGTAGTGTTACTACTCCAGTTATAAATAGGTGAGGAAACTAATTAAAAATAGTTTTTTGGATGGTTATAATGCAACAATATTTGCTTATGGTTAAACAGGATCAGGTAAAACATATACAATGAGTGGTGCTGAAACATGGTAATTAAGAGGAGTAATACCAAGAACATTATCTTATATATTTGATGAAATTGACAAACGTACTAAGTTTGAATATAAAATATACATTTCCTTTATGGAAATTTATAATGAAAACGCCTATGATTTATTAGAAAAGAGACATCTTGAAACTCCTTTAGAATAATGGAATAAAGTATAAATATTAATAGGAATATTATTAGATTGCACTTTATGAAGATGATTAAAATAATATTCATTTAAAGAATCTGTCAATTCATTAATGTAATAATGAATAAGAAGGAATTGACTTACTTATGATGGGTAATTTCATTAGATAAGTAAGTTCAACTCCGATGAATTAATCAAGTTCAAGATCTCATTGTATATTTACTGTCACACTTGAAGGTTGTGATACAACTACTGAAACATGTTTTGTAAGCAAATTACATTTAGTGGATTTAGCTGGATCTGAAAGAATTAGTAAATCTTAAGTTGAAGGAAATCTATTAAATGAAGCTAAATATATAAATCTATCATTAACATATTTAGAACAAGTCATTATAGCTTTAAATGAAAGAATGAAAGGATCTAATAGATAACATATTCCATATAGAAATTCTTTAATGACTACTTTACTTAAAGATTCTCTAGGAGGAAACTGTAAAACTGTAATGATTGCAACTATTAGCTCTGATAATGATAACATAGAAGAAACGTTATCTACTTTGAGATTTAGTTAAAGAGTAGGTTAATTAGAAAATGAAGTATAATATTATTATTATCTTAAGATTAGGAAAAATGAAAAAGTAGATTTAGAAGCTGTAGTTAAAAGATTGGAATAAGAAAAGTTAGCACTTATTAGAGAATTAGAATAATATTAAAGAACAAGTAATACCAACACTAATACTCTTAATTCTAATACTAAGAAATCTTCATCATCTTAATAATCTATATTACCTATCACTAATGGAAATTATTTAAATCAAAAAGATATTTCTGATAAAGTTGAACTCTATTTAAATGAACGTATTACACAATTAGATGTTAAAAGTTTAGAAGAAGCTTAAATGTGTTTTGAAGCTATGAAAGATTTATATAATATAAGAATGAAAGAATATGTGACTGAACTTACATTTATTTCTGAAAAATTACAAAAATATGATGAAATATTAACTAGAAAGTAATATTTTAATTATTATCTATATTTAGAAAAGAACAAAGCTCTTTTGTAGAATAAAAAGAAAATAGTTCTCCAGAAGTTGATGTTTACAGAAGAAATGAATCTCCTTAAATCAATTTTAAAAAGAAACCAAATTAGTGATATATATCTAAATATATCTTTGATAATCCAATTAATTAATCATCATATCAAATATTTAATGATGTTATTTTCTCTTACAATTCTCCAGCCTCTTCTTTACTTATACCAGATTATTTGGCTTAAATTTAAGCACTAACTTATGGACCCAATTAATTAATTATAAAGCTTAATCCTTTTTATTTTATCTCAGTTGAATTCAAATTCAATTATAAATTAACTAAAATTGGTAAACTATGAAGAAACTATTTAATTTTATTTATATTTTACTTTTCCTAATTTTCTTGCTCCTTCCTCTGTTATTTTATTATAATGAACACTTATATTCACACTTTTTAAAGCACTCCATTTTACAGATTAGAATTGTTTATTCAAATTTTATAAAGCATTATCAGTTAATTGATTTCTTCCAACATTAATTATTAATTCTATTAAAGTAGATGAGAAATTAGGAACATTCTAAATTAAACCACTAAATCCATCATCTTTAATATTATTAGAATTCAAAGAAAAACCAGAAAAATCTAAATTTAATTTCTTTACTCCTTTATAAGCACTTAATGCCTCTCCCAATAATTAAGCTGATTTATTATCTATTTAAGCTTAACTAAAATAATTAAAAATTCATTTATACCTAAAATTTAATTAAACTCTTTAAACAGTTGCACTACCAACTGATTTTAGTGCTTTTGCTATATGTTATACGGCTGAATTTACATTTGATTATTTAGCTACTATATTCACTTCTTCTAAATTTGACAATTTCACTTCTTTAAATTCAGTAAAGAATTCCTTTGCTAAATTTGCTTAAACATTTGAAGTAAATTCAAAAGTTAAAATTCTTAGTTATTCTGCTTATCCAATAGCTTTTAATATAATATTAATTTTTACCTTAAGCTATATGAGATAAACCTTATGCCTTATTTGAAACATTCCATTTAATTGATAGATTAACTATGTTTGTTAATCTTTGAATTGATTCAGCTATTGATTTACAATCAGCGATATTAAAATCACCTATATGTAATACCACTCTTGCTTCTGGTGTTATCATTGTATTTAATAATAATCCAAAAGCTTCAGCTGTTTCAATGTTTAAACTAACAAAATTCTATTATTATAAAGATGTATCTTCTTATAAAATATCTAAGAACTAATCTCCTAATCTTTATATTTATTAATTCCAAAATTTCAGTGCTATTTCTGATCTATCTTAAAGCTATTAATTAAGAGTAGATTCTAAATTATTTCTATAAAAAGTCTCTTTTGTCTTATTCCAAACACATAATTCATTAGGAGCAGCTCTCCAAGCCCTCAACTTTTTTGTAGTCTAAAATAAATAATCAGGTAATTCTGGTGCTGCTCTTAATTCTGATATCTATTTATTATTGTAATAATTATACTTTATCAACTATCTCTGTTGGTTTTGGAATTGATGCTTCTTATTCAGGATCACTTTTTAAAACATTTCTTAAAGCCTAATATGCTTTTTCAACATTTTCTGTCTCTCCTTAAACACCTTCAACCAATTATGAAACTACGTTATTGCAAGCATTTTCGTATCCTTTTTATAATTTTGTATTTAGTTTTTTAAATTAATCTACTTAGGCTTAAACCTTGTTTTAATAAACTTTATGCATAGAGTTAAAATTTTAAACTAACTATTCAGACTCTACATCTGGAGTATAAGCTAATGCTGACTTTTTAGTTAGATCTCTAATTGTTTAATTAAGATTATTACTATAAAAAGTCCTTTATAACAACTACTTCTGATTATCCCTGAACTCTTTAACATATATGACGTGCTGTCAATAATTTACTATTCAAAATGTCCTTCTACTCAGAAACTAGAATATATGGTTCATTATCAGTTGGGTTTAACAATTAAGGAAATTCAAAATCCATTTATTAATTAATTTCTTCATCCCGCCTTCCCCTAAATTGAATTACAATATATATTCTAATTCAAATTTATTTATCCAATGAAAATTTAATATTAATATATACGATTTATATTATGAATTAAATCAATTATACATTATATTCTAATTAATCATTGCAAATCTTTTTTCTTTAATATTTATATGTTTTTTTAATTAGAGTAATCTAATCTTGACATATAATTTTCTATTAATTATTTTTATCAGCAATTCAGTAATAAATTTTCAATGAAGTTTGTTTCAATTTTAAAAATTCTCATCATTCTTATATTAATATGAAAGAGACTGACATTAATATGAGATAAATTTAATTAAGAAAATTTTACCAATTAAATCTGCTAATAAAGAATTAATAATATAAAATTTATTTTATTGTTTGAATCAAATTAGATTATGTTTCATTCTATGAAATTTATTTAAAAATTTTCTTTTTTTAATAGAACATCCCATAACATCAGATTTCATAAATTTTCATTGAGTTTTTTGATAGATATGCATTAATATTTCCTAAATTTAAATTTAGTTAATGGGAATAAATTGATAATTATTTTTGAGAGTCGGAACTTAGAAATAATTGATAAATTTTTCAAGTTAATGTTTTTCATTCATTAATAAGCTATTTTCCTATCTTCTCTATCTTTTTTCAATTCTTAAAGACAATTTTAATTGATTAGATCTAATCATCAGCAAAAAATTTGAATTTAAAGAATAGTAACAAAAGTTTGCTTTGATCTATGTTTACATTTATTGAAAATTTTTTCAAGTAGCTTAAATACTCTTGTTTTGGTGGTTTTTTGAAAAAAATATAAAATTTGAGAAAAACTAAATAGGAAAAATTAGGTAAAAAATTTGCTATCTGAAATACTTAATTTTCTTAGTTTTATAAAGATCTTTTATTGAAAATGTTATTTTAGATTAGAAAATATAGATTTTTAGATTCAAAGTCAATAAGTCTAACTTTACTGAACCCCCTTTCAAAATTAAGGTTTGGAACTTGGAAGGTAGTCAGAACATTGCTTAGTTCTTGATTATTGATCTGGAGTTTGAGAATTACTTTTAACTCTTCGTTAAACTATTGGATTTTTATTCACATCATATCTTTTCTCCTCTTTTATTACATTAGGCAAAACTCTTTCATATATTTCATATTAAAATAAAGCTCTTTTTTATTTTTGTTTTCCCGACACGCACCCCATTTATTTTATTTTATTGTATTATATTTAATGTTTTAATGATAAATTGATGATAATTTTTTTTCAGTTTATTCAGTTTTAAATAAAGACATAAATGGGAAAATTTTTCTTAAATCTCAAAAGACTTGAAAAATTTTATAGCAGAAATCAATTAAATTCAAAATATTAGTTGAACATAATAATTTTATAAATAATATGAAGAATTATCCATTTGAAAAAATATTAATTTTTGTATAATATCTCAATTAATTTTCGAAACTCCAAAATTTATTGTTTTATATCTTATTTTGATATATAAATTACTTCTTATATGCTTTTTTAAGTTACTTGAATTGAAATATATAAATATTATTTAAGTTGGATCAATTAATTGAACATATAGATCCTTTAAATGATTGAATAATATAATTATAAATGAAAAATTTTATATTTCGAAACAACAAAAACTTTAATTTATAATTATATAAATTATTTTATTTATTGTTTTAAATAATAATATATCTTAATTTTACAGTAAAATAAATATATTTCTTTATTGTTTAACATGATCATGAATTTTGGGTTCTAAATGAGAGAAAAAATCTTGAATATTATATAATAGATAATAAGTAAATAAAAAATTTAAAAATAAATGATGATTACTATTTTTTCATATTTTTTAGCTGATTCAATTTTTTTTGATAAATTTTCAATTCATATTTTAGTATTAAGAAGATCTTGGAAAGATTAAGCTAGCAAATATTTTAATTTATAGTTAATATTAAAAAAAGAAGAAAGTTCATAAATATTCACAATTCTTAGAAGTCTAATTGTTTCTTTCTAAATAGGAGTAAGTTTAATTGGTAAAAGAATTCTCCTTTTTTTATGATAGTCTCCTTTGAAATATTGGATTCTTTGGAATTTAAAATGCTTTGTTTTTGTTTTTTTCTGAAAATTTTGGTTGATCTGATAAGTTTTGATTGATTATGTTGTTGAAATAATCAAGATCCTTTTGCTACTTCTTATTTTTGGTAACACTACAACCCATGCTGATATAAATAATGATTTTTTAAATCAAAATGAATAAATTTATGATTCAGTTTATTCACACAATAGTATTTTAATTAAAACTAGATAAAATGAAGTAAAATAAATAAATATTTAGAGTATATATGTTGAAGAAGATGCAACTTAAGAATAGATTATTATACAGGATTTTATTAATTTAATATCAAGGTTAATTCAATAATTAAAGGTCGATAGCTTTTCTACTCTTATTATATTTACCCATATAATTCATAAGAGTAAATTCAAAGTAAGGACCTCCATTCTTTGTAAATTTTACATATTAAGGATTATTCCTAATCTTAAAATAAATTATATACTAATGCACAATTTTAAATTACTTCATTTTTTCTATAGTAATTCCGGCTGCTTAAAGATCGTCATAATGTACAAATACATCAGTTGCATCTTCATCAAGTACTAAAAATCCATATTTCTTGGCATCATCGTAAAATTTCATTCTTCCTTTTTACCTAATAATTAATAATATAATAAATACCTTTAAAGACTATCATCTAAAACATAAGGTAATTTTGATGGAGTTTCAATTTTTGGTGTTCCAATATTAAGTTTTAAACTTACTCCAGGAGGATTTTATTTCAATAACTAATAATCATCACTGTATTCTTAATCAGATATTTTTAATGGCTTTTTGATACTTACAGGGTATTCAAATTAAAAATCTTCTTCATTTTTCTCATCTTCTTTAATGAATGAAGAGGTTCGTTCAATTTTTCTGGCAATAAATTTAATCATTTTTATAAAATAAACAATGTTTTAACGAGAATAACGAAATCCAACTAATTCTTGTTATAGAAATTCATCAAATGCTTATGTTATGGCAATGAAAGCACTTTAAGAAAAAATTAAGGTTATGGAAATATAAAAATGTGATATACAATTGCCAATTAAAACAAAATCTAACGACGATGAATATTTTTTATAGTAAATATCTGAGTTGAGAAATTAGAATGAAACATTATCTATGTAATTGCAAAGATAGCTAGGTGAAAAAGAAAATATTAATAATTATATTCATTAAATTGATTAATTGCAATAAGAAAGATTAGTTCATTTAAAAGAATACTAAGATAGAGTGACAGACTTAATTAAAAAAATTGAAGATGGAAAAAAGGATAGGCAAGATTAATAAAATTAAATTGAACATTTGTAAAGATAATTGTAGGCATATAAATCAAATGAAAGAGGTATGATGTAAAAGGTTGACTAACAAAAATAGGAAGAAAATTCAAAATAATTAGAATAAATCTTAGAGTTAAGATAAAGAGTAGAATCTGGAGAATAATATGCAAAAAAGTTAGAAAAAAAATATGAAAAACTTTAAACTGATAAACACTTACTAGAAGCTGAAATTTTAGATTATAAAGAGCGTTGTCCAATATTTAAGCTTTAGGAATATGAAAAACAAATTTAAATATATAGATAGCAGCTTGAAGAAAAAGAGAAAGCATATTTACGTATGATGGAAGAACTATAAATGTAACGTTAACATACAGAAGATTAATTAACTAAAAGAATTTAAGAACTATTGAATAAAAGTAATGAACATTAATCTACAATACATCAATTAACAATAGAGTTGAAAGATACAACTTTAAAATATCAATAGTTAAAATTGAGGTTAGAATATGAAGAGAAAAATAATCAATAAAATAAAAAAAGAATGAGAAATATTTCTTAATCAGAAGATCCTGAATTAGAAATGCTTATTAGTAATTAATATTAAAGTAATAATTAACAACAAAATAATAATAAAGTATCTAAATTAAATTTAGATTTTTTATCACCATAAATCACAAGTCCCCGGTTTGAGTAAAGTTTCGTTAAATCAAGTGTTTTAAAATAAGCCATAAAAGATTGTTTAGAAGATATGAAATAAACCACTCCATTTAAATCTGATTAATAGTATATCATTCCATAAGAATAGCATCACCCTTAATAACATTCTAAAAAAAAGTTATTATCTCCTCCCTTGACTGTTCGTAATAATGAAATCGAAAGTAAACTTAAGTAATTAAATGACAAATATGAATAACTCATTAGGTAAGCACAAAAAGAGACAGATTTTAAATTAAAAGCTTAAATTAGAAAAGAATTATTAGATATAGCTGAATAGATTAAAGAAGTAAATAGGAAATAATGAGACAAATATTTTTTTCAATATTTATTTAAATACAAACAAGGAACTGTTGTTTTAATATTATTTAATTGTTTATTAAAGAATAACTCTTGAAATTAAATATTCAGAATTTAAAATTATTTCAAAAAAATAAAGAATAGCTACAATTTGTATAGAAATAGTTGATTTTGATGTATTAATCTACAATTATTTTTAATATAATCAAAGGCTTGCTTATAATTATTGAGAAAAAATATAATAGGTGCTATAAAACTTAAGTATGATATTAAATAAATTATTACAATATTAATTGTATCTAATATTAAAAAGTTTTCTTTAAACTAAATTCTATGTGTATTGTTACTATATATCTCCAATACTTATTAGAATTTAAGAGTATTAATAATCTTTATGACTATTAGAAGTAGTGTTGTAATGTTTATTGTGTATTAAATTTTTATTAAAAATAGAAGCTTCAAAGAATTCATAAATATGCTAAGAAAATTTTTAACTTATTTAGAGTGAAATAAATTTTAAAACATTCCAATATACAAGACTAATATCTAGGAACATAGAGTTTCAATGTTTTTTGTATGTCTGTTGTTTTTCTTTTGTTTGTACATTTAAAGAAATTTGATTAATTGTATGTGATTAGTAAATCACAAAAATTCTAAAATTCATTCATAACACTCAAACCTTAAGACCTTATATTCTTACTGCTATAATGTTAATGAAATTTCTGATGCCACAAAATCTGGAAAATGATAGGAATGGTTTATTTTTGTTTTTGTTTTAATTGAGAACATATTATATGACTTTTTTCTTAGTTTGAAAAAGTGTGAACACTCGAAGAGTGATATTTTGTTTTACTTCATTAATAATCATTTTGTTGAAATGAATTACTTCATATTCCCAACCTCTCTAATTAAAATGTAGAGTGATGTTTCAATAAGAAAGCTTTAAGTGAGAAACGAATTTAAACAAAAGGAATAGGAGACATGGAAGAAAAATAAAAAATTATTTGCTGTAAAATTTAGAAAAAGGCTAAATTCTGATTTTGTAAACTTCACTTAAATCTATAAAGTTCAACCTAATAAGGAGAAAATCGCTATTATAAGCGATTAATCTTGTTTTTCTAATATTATTTAGACAGGATACAGTTTAATTTTGAGGGTATATGTGAAAAATTAAAACTGAGATTAATCAAGATATTAAGGGGTATAAAAGGGCTCTAGAATTTTGTAGAAGATCATTATTTTTTATAAAACATTTAGATGTTAATCATAGCTTTTACAAGCATGTTACTTATGCTATTAGGCAATAATGTTGATGGTAAATAAAAGAAATAATATTGTAGCAATGATGATGGATGCTTCAACAGATTCAACTTCTGATGCAGTAGTGATTTTAGCTGCATCAACTATTTTAGGATAAGAAAATTCAAGCCTTTAAGGTTCAAGAATGGGTGGTACGACAATTTATATGAAAGTAAGAAAAAAAATATTCCTCTAGGTTTAAGGGTTAGACTAGACTGCTAGCAACAATGCAGTGTACATTGGTAAATACCCTTGTGTTATCTCTGATAAAGGTGTTAATGGATTGTTCATGAACTGTAAAACAACAAAACCAGATCCAGATGACAATAACTTATCTGGCCTATAAATTGTTGTTAATGTATTAGGTAAACCAGACTCTGTATGTGGTACCATTTCCACGAAATGCCTTTTTAGTTACTCTTAAACTTCTACTCCAAAATTATTCTATGTTAGTCCAAGATCAAATTATCCAAGAAGTCTAAGTTATTGGAGAGCTAAGTGGGCTGTATCAAGCACACTTGTTTAATATCTAGAAGGATAATTCATGGGAGCAAATAGATGTGACAGATTCACAGTTTAAGATTAATATCCAGATGAAATTAATTTTTGGGATGATTAGGTTGTATGTTAAGTATCTGCAGAAATCAAAGCAGGTTATTATGATTATACTATTAAATCATAAAGTGGATATTAAACTAATGATGTTGGTATAAAATAAAAAAAGGTTTACTCAGATTAAACATACGACTCAAAGTAATTATTATTATATAATTTTAGAGCTCTTCCAATTATTACAGGAATCAATACCAATTTTGCATCACCAGAAGGATAAATTTTGTAAATTTCTGGATATGGATTTAGTCCAATAGCATCTGAGAATACAGTTAAAATTTCAGGATAATCTGAAGTTATTTAAGTTTTATCATCTTCTCCTACCACTATCAATGCTAAGATACCTAAACTTAGTAATTTACCAACTATTGCTGATGCTACTGAGTCATCAGTCTATATTTAAGGAAGTGGATTACATTATACAAGATGGGATGTCTCAGGATTAAATTTCAATTGCCCTGATTTTAGAAATTAAATCATAACTAATTAAGCATAATTGGATAGCAGAATTTAATTCGATGGAATTCATCCAGAACCTGATGTTTAAAATTAATTTGGAGAATATTATGGATAATATTTTAGAGGATTCTTTAAGGCACCATTTACAGGAAATTATAGATTCTATGTTGCCTCTGATGATTGTTCTCAATTCTATATTCAAACAACAGAAATTAAAAAACCTATAAGGTCAGATACTGCAGCAGCATCTAGTTATTGGAATCCATATAGAAATTATTGGTATGAATATTTGAGTTACTCTTACGAAACTAAAACAATATCAGCACCTGTATCTCTATAAGAAGGTGAATTTTACTACATTGAAGCTTATCATCTTAATGGTGGATCAAGTGGATATTTCACACTCTCTATGGAAGTTGAAAGCCCTACTAGAAAATCAAATTCATTAAATAGTATATACTAAATTTAAACATCTTATACTCCAACTAAAGAAATCATTGAATTCACTTTATATAATACAAATGGTAACACTTTATTAGCAGGTAAGTATTAACTTTAATTCACATATGGTACCAAGACAACTCCATAGACAGGAATATACTATTCTTATACTACTGGAGATATAAGTTCAAATGCAAATGCAAATACTATTAAGAATGCAATTTAAAACTGTGGTGGAAGGTATTAAGTAAGTGTCGTAGCCACAAAATTAGATAATACTGGAGCTGCTTTAGAAGATACAGCAACAACATTTGCTGGATATAAATATACTATAACATTTGATTCACACAGAGGTACTACATAATATAGAGCACTTCCAAAGATTGTATCATCAACTCTTAATGGAGGAACAGTCTCATAAAAGATAGAAAGAACCTAAGAACCTTTAGATCCAATAAGTGGAACTTTCTAATTAAAAATGACTATTAATGAAATTGACCATTTATTTTAAGTATCAGAGAATAACTATGACATACCATTTGATGCATCTTCATCCTTAATTGCTGATAATATTGAAAGACTTACAGGACAAAGACCATTTGTTTGGACTTTTGGTAGAGCTCAAGATGGATGGTCATGGTATGTAATATTAAGATCAAATGTGGAAAGTCTTACTGTATTTGATTTTTCAATCAGTTAACTTATTTCTGGAAGTGGAGATGTTACAGTGGCTGTAAAAAAACCAATAGATGATTCAACCAATCTCTTATTTGAACCTATTCCAAATGAATTATTATTTACTTATAGTCAACATCCATAAGTTCAAGTCGAAGTTAAATACGAATTAAAAGAAAATGGAGTTGTTTCTGAAACAGAACATATATTGGCTGGTTGTGAATAGG